GGTTTCAAAAAAAAAAAAAAAAAGTGCATCTGAAGGCAGGATTTGAAAGACGAGAAAGCATTGACTGGCACACAGGCAGCAGAAGGCTGCTCCAACCACTCCAATCATCAGGAGAAGTATGGAAGACAGAAACACAAAGCTCTCTTTACCCTCTGTCCTCTGGCTTAAGTATGCTGCCTTTGCAATGCACCCAACATCTGGCAGCTTTGGAACTAGTTCTGATGCCTGTGTGCCAGAGCATTGCTTATTATCACAGAGTACTCCATATAGCAGGACGTCTAGCGTGGTTCAAGTGGAATAAAATCCTATGGTCCTTATTTAATCCTTACTCAGGCAAAACTCCCATTGCCTCAAGGACTGAGTAAGGCCTAAATGATTTACATGAGTACAAACTTTTTGTTGTTCTAAATCAAAAGAAAATAAAGTATCTACCTATACCCAGGCTCTGAGTGTACTGGCAGCCATTTAAAAACAAAACCACAGTTCAAATCAACCAACCATGTGTTCTATCAAGCAGCAGCTCATAGTCAAATATTAATCCTTGTGTGACTGGGTTCTCCACTCACCACTAGTTTGACGCCTCCTCCTACTAACTCTGCAGATTAGCTCATCAGGTCGACACCCCTTCTTGCGGTTACATGCCATGACTCCATCTCTCTCTTTGGTCCGCAGACCCTCTCTCATTCCAGAAACCACAACATCTTCTTCATGACTCAGCCCTCTGGCCAGGTCACTCAGCGTTCTCTCTTTCCAAGCCGTATCAGTCTTTCCTTCAGCAACCCTAGGCAGTCTTCCCATTCACCGCCTGAGGTGCCACTCCTTCAGTTGCTGCTAGGGGAACCTAGGCCCACCCTCTACCCGGGTTCCAGCCCAGGGATCCCTAACAACACACAGCCAAGGTCTGTTCAGTCCCCAACCTTGCTGCTCACTCCCTGGCCTGCTTCCTACTCTCCCCCTCCTCTGGCTGTACCAGCTTCAAACCCTCTTCTCTCTCCTCAGGGGGTAACTACAGGCTACCTCCCTGAAGCCCCCTTCCTCTCCCAGTTCCCTGGCTTTACAGAAGCCCTGTCCCTGCAGGGGTGAGCTTCCCCTAATTAGGGCTTTCCTCTCAGCCTCCAGCCTAATAGGCCCATCTGGCCTCCATTAACCTCTTCAGGGCAAGTGTGTGGTGGATACCATATCATACTCTGCCACAGCCAATGCCTCAATCCTCTACCAATCCTAAAGGCCCAGTGAAACAAATAGACCTTACAGAATGTCCTGAAAATCAACAGGCTATTTCAGATCAGTCTGGGAGGGCACTGCAGAGACCTACCACCCTTGTGGAAAATGCCTCCTGTTTTATAGTGAGGGGGATCTACCATCAGTGCCTTTACTGGTCACAGCTGTGATAGTCTATAAAGGGGAGAGAGGCATTCTTTCTAGAAGGCTAGTCACAGGCTATTTAGAGCTTTATCAGTCTAAATATTAAAGTGTTTCTAATGCTACTTTCATAATTATCTAAGCATAAGATTTCACACTATCACAAGCCAGCAATACGTTGGTCACTAACCCTGTCCATCCTGGACTGGTGCATGCACCTGGGAGTCAGAAAAATCTGAATTCTAATTGCATCAGTGACACTGGCTCGCTGTATGGCCTTGTGCAAGTCACTTACAGACCCCCTCTGTAGCTCACCTTCTCACCTGTAAAACAGATCTAGTGATATTTACCCACCTTTGTAAGCACTGAGATCTACAGCTGAAAATTGCTATTTAAGTGAAAAATTATTTTAAAAAAACCACATAGTGAATGCAGTAACCAGCAAATAAACCGGATGAAGAACAGTGTGCTAGTCTTGCCAGGATGCTGTTGGGAGAGACACAGTATTTCAGGACGACTGATAAGAAAGATCCTGAAACAAACAAGTAGGATTTCCAGCATTTATCCATGAACCCATCAGTTTAATTAATTCCCTAGCTACAATTAAAACGTATACCAAGTAAGAATGATCAAGGAAGAATCTTGAGTCAGCATGAATTTGAACCTCTAACATTTGACTGCAATATTTTATTCCAAGCGTAATAGTGAGGCACAGATGTCTGCTTCTAATATTTTATATGCATTTCACAGACTTGCTATAGCACCTTCCATCTAAACATCTCAAAGCAATTTTCAAACATCAATAAATTAAGCCTTGCAACACCCCTACGTAAAAAGGTAAGTATTGTATCCCTGTTATGCAGATGAGAAAAATGAGGCACTGAGTATTTAAATGACTTACTGAAGGTCACACAGCAAGTCTGTGAGGAATGAAAGTACACCCAGTCTCCTACAACCCAAGCTTGCACCTTAAGTATATGGCCATCCTTCCATCTCTTTTTGAGACTGAGCATGTTTAAGTTATTGTCTTAAGCATCCAAATGACCATAGCATATAGAATCATAGAATATCAGGGTTGGAAGGGACCCCTGAAGGTCATCTAGTCCAACCCCCTGCTCGAAGCAGGACCAATTCCCAGTTAAATCATCCCAGCCAGGGCTTTGTCAAGCCTGACCTTAAAAACCTCTAAGGAAGGAGATTCTACCACCTCCCTAGGTAACGCATTCCAGTGTTTCACCACCCTCTTAGTGAAAAAGTTTTTCCTAATATCCAATCTAAACCTCCCCCACTGCAACTTGAGACCATTACTCCTCGTTCTGTCATCTGCTACCATTGAGAACAGTCTAGAGCCATCCTCTTTGGAACCCCCTTTCAGGTAGTTGAAAGCAGCTATCAAATCCCCCCTCATTCTTCTCTTCTGCAGGCTAAACAATCCCAGCTCCCTCAGCCTCTCCTCATAAGTCATGTGTTCTAGACCCCTAATCATTTTTGTTGCCCTTCGCTGGACCCTCTCCAATTTATCCACATCCTTCTTGTAGTGTGGGGCCCAAAACTGGACACAGTACTCCAGATGAGGCCTCACCAATGTCGAATAGAGGGGAACGATCACGTCCCTCGATCTGCTCGCTATGCCCCTACTTATACATCCCAAAATGCCATTGGCCTTCTTGGCAACAAGGGCACACTGCTGACTCATATCCAGCTTCTCGCCCACTGTCACCCCTAGGTCCTTTTCCGCATATCTTCAGGAGTGGGGTCACTTTCTGATCACAAGGGCCTCAAGGCTGAGGTGAAATGAAATTTGGCTAAAAGGAATAGTAGTCTAATACATATCAAGCCCTTAGGCTTTTAGTGGGGTTAACAAAAAAGAAAGGATAATCCATCTTCCTTGTCACCCTAACAGATCAGTTTAAAAAAAACAACCTTCCCAAGACAAACTTAATCAATGGGATCTACACTGAGCAGCTTAAAACGCTAACAACAAAAGTGGCTCTGGGCTTTACATCTGTTCCTGCTCACACAAAGCACATCTTACCACCTCTCTTCTCAATGTTATTCCTTGCGATGAGTTCTAGTGATACACAAGGCAGCTAATTTAATCTCAGACCTCGCAGTTCAGCTAGATGTATTTTAACAGCATGGTTTATGGAGACGTTTATTGCTGAACTGCTTTAGCTGTGGGAGTATGATGCTCCATAGCTAAACACAATTAGGAAAAAAATGTTAACATAGCAGAAAAGCAAGTTTCCTGGATTTTACAAGAGCAACAAAATTTTAAAGGAATCTTGGTAAAATAATGAATGTTCTCCTTTAAAAATATATGAAAAATTGCTAGTCTAGACAGGTAGCACAGTAAAACAGAAGTGTAATGAAAGTATAAGATTAAACACTTCAGTGGGCATGTTCTACTTGGAATACTAGATTCGCTCTGAATTTACCATCACTGTTAAAAACAACGGGAAAGTGCAAGTATCAAGTAGTCTGGATCAACCCTTTAAAATATTGATCCAATTTGATTTAAACCTACAATCTTTTCTTCCAGACTCTCTCCAAAAAATGAAATACTTCTATCATTTATACTTGACTACAGTCTTATAAACAAAAAGTTAAATATAAGAGGCATATCTTATTTTTAAAACCACTCCCTGTCCACTTGCCGTTCCCCTACTTTAATATATTTATTCATCCTTGATTTAAAAATATCTTTGCTTAAATTAACCTTATTTAATGAAGCCATAAGGCACATTGTTCAGGCATGCAACAAGCAGGACATGATCTGGACCCCATGCTGAGGCATCACTTTATTTCTCACATGAACAAGATTTTTTTCCCTTCACCCTTCAGAGGAGAGCAATGCAGTCTCCTCACAATGAAGCAGAATCAACCAGAGTAGAAGACAGTGGTCAGCTGGAATGGGAAGAGTTGAAGTCAAACCAGACAAAAAATGTACAATAAAAAGGGCAACTTTCAAAACCCATATGGCAGAGTCTTATTGACACAGGGCAGGATTTTCAAGAGTGCCTAAGTGACATAGGAAAACAAATTGGATTTGTGCTCCTAAGCCACTCAGAGCCAGATTTCCAAAGATATTTAGCCACTGGAAGATGCAGATAGGTACCTGATGGGATTTACGAAGTGCCTACACAAGTGAGGCGCCTAACTCTCATAGACTGTTGATACTTTTGGACAATCACACTCTCAATGAACTGATATTATTTATTGTTAGCACTAAAGAACTTGAGTGAAATTCTGACCCTATTTAAATAAATGGGAGTTCTGCCATTGACTTTAATGGAACCAAGTTTTCACCTCTTTTGTTTAAAAGGAAAAGCATCCTTGGTTGAACTATTAGAGACAAGTAACCTCCCAACCAGCCTCTCGGGATCGCTTAGCACTCTGAAGCCTTGTCTACACTAGAAAATGTTGGTGTGCTAAACATTGTTTGGAACCCCCACCTCCATTCCATACACTCTCCGGTTCTAGCCCTCAAGTTCAGTTACCAGCCATTCAATTCTCTGGCACAAAGAGGAGCACTTCAGAAATCTGAGCAATCTGCTATGCTGGCTAGCCAGCAAGAAGGTAACAATTTTTTCACTAAAATCAGACCGGGTTAGGCGAGAGAATTTCCAAGACACATATAAATCAAAAAAACCCTTAGGACTTATTTATTTTCAAAAATAGCAACATAATAGTAGCAGCATTTGACATTTCTTTACTCGTACTATTTAATAATTGCTTTATTAACACACAAGTATATGTAACCCACACAGAACAATTTTACTTCTTTGTTATCAGAAACATCTAGTATTAGGAGAAGGGAAATTATTAGTAACAATTTTTTTTTTACAGTAGTGCCAAGTCCCCAATCAGATCAGGGAGCTTTTTGTGCTAGATATTGTGCAAAAAAGTAAAACATGGGCTCTGCACCTTAGAGATCCAGAGAAGATGCAAACGATCTGCTAGTGATTAATGAAATGAACTGTGCATAACTATCTACCTATCTCTAGTGCTCCACCACCAGGTTGTTTTGTTTAAATAATAGTGGAGTTATGAATCTGTGAACTGGCAATTTTTCAGCAGTTCATGAGTTGCTCATCACTGACACAGAATTAGCACCAATCTAGGTCTCTGCAGCAGTTAAGGTTTTAGGTACTTAATCCCGGCCTCAGCATGGGGCTGAACTAGATTACCCCTTGAAGTCCCTTCCAGCCCTACATTTTCTATGATTCTGTGATACCACAACAAGCAATTGATATAAACGCCTAGATAAAGAAATTGGATAGATGGTTTGCTTGGTGGATTTCAAGTAGGGTTGAAACATACATTTATAGCAAGAATGAAATAATTATCAAGAAATTATGTTATCAGTATGGTGAATCAAGAATCAAAAGCAGAACAATTTGTTCTTCCATTCCTGGGGGGGGAAGCTTATTACTCATAAAAAAAAAAATCAGATATAGAAGTACTGTTGAAAACATTTGGCATTCAGTTGGCAAAGGAAATACGGCAAAACTGAAAAATAAGAAAATATGGACATACCAGAAACCAAGGAAAGTGATAAAACTGTTTTAAATCAACACTGGTCTGGTTAAACAAAAAGTAAAATAGTTGTTTGGATCACAGAATTTATGTAGATGTATGAACCTTTTACCTTAACTCAGCAGTTCAAAGCCAAATTAATTAGTCACTGACTTGAAAACCCTGTGACCTCTGAGTTATGAATCAGTTGTCCCAAATCTAGTTTGTAGCGAACAGTTCTCCATATCCTGAAAACCACTCAATTTGCATCCTTGAGCTGGAGGTCTCATTAGTGACTTTAAGGGCTGAATGGATGGTAAGACTAAGCTATGCTCTTACTGTTGCCAAAGGCAGTCCTTTCAGGTCAGGTGTGAGGCACATCAACAAATCCGTGCGAGAAAGATTGTACTACTACTGCCAGGGTGATACTTATTTTGTGATCAAAAGACTTCAGTATCCATGTCTGTCAAAACGTGGCACTGAACTGACTTTAAAACAATATACAATCAAAACAGGCCAAGTGTTCTCAGAAATAATCATAGGATAAAGATTTCTAAAGCAGAAAACAAGTAAACAGCTACAGTCCATTTTTACAAGGCACTCTCATCCTGCAGTAAGCCCAACAGTCACAAAATTGTCAAACTTTATTGGGAAAAAGCTTTTTTTCACCTGCTTAGATTGTAGAATTGATCACTTCAAAACTGTGAGAAATAGTTGATACAATTTCAGAATTGTAGAATACCATCACAAATACAACTGATTAAAGTATAAAGGGGTAAAATGGTTTCCCCCTCAGACCAGGCCAATGTCTGAGTGGGTCATGCTTTATACCGAATGTAAAAGATGCACTGGAGGAAAGGTAGCTGACACATCTCAAGACCAGCTTATTCAATTGTTGACTATGGAATGCAGTAAAAGAAAAAACCATACCCTCAGATACCCTGTGGATGAGAGCCATCTAAGTATGATAGATAGATGCCTAGAGCAGAACGAGCTGTGCAGAAAACGCGATGGCAAGCCTCCTTGTTGTTGGATTTGAAATAGGATATAAATATTGTATGCAAAGGAGCTCTTGATAAGTTTGGAATGAAATGTTTGTGACTGAGGGGATGCCTAGCACACACAAAACTACATTTAAATAATGCTTTACTTTTCATTTTCAATATATAATAAACATTAGATGGAGGCTGACACAGCTTTTTTCATGATTACACAATAATCAAATAATCGCCATCTGAAGATAAGTTGACTGTAGGACTAAGGCCTGGTATACACTAGATAAGAAGTTGGAATAACTAAATTGCTCAGGGGTGTGAAAAACCACACTGCTGAATGGCATAGGTAAGCTGACCTAAGTCTCCATCTCACAGCAGTAGGTCTACAGAAGAATTCTTTCATCAGCCTAGCTACTGCCTCTCGGGGAGGTGGATTACCTATGCCGACAGGAGAATTCCTCCCATCAGCATAAGTAGTTTCTACACTGAAGCATTACAGCAGCGCAGCTTCAGTGGCACACCTGTGCTGCTGAAAGAGTTACATGTAGACAAGCCTTCAATGTAAAACAAACGACATACGTCTATGAATTTCAACTATCCGGTCTCCATATTTTGGAGAGGAACACTACATCTTTCTCAAATGAGCACCTGCTGATTTTAATGGGAGTTTTACCATGGTCAAGATTGAAGGATCAGACCCACTAGGTCCAATTCATCACTGTTACTTGTGGCACCTTAGAGTACTCTTGTTCTTTTTGCGGATACAGACTAACACGGCTGCTACTCTGAAACCTGTCACTTTTGTGTCACTCCCATTTTAACCTGGTTGAAAATGCAATGAAATGAATAGTTATACTAAAGTAAAGCTGGAGGAGCAACATGTGGTGAATCAGGTCCATCATATACCCAGACTTGCATGTAATAGTGCAGATATTTTAAAATGATTCATAGTTTATACTGCTGAAACCCAATTTTTAGGCTAACATCTACCACAGACATCTACGATTTCATCATCTTTTGTGAAGAAAGTCTAGCAAAATAAGAATGGGTTAGCTATAATCCTATTTCGTTATAAGAGGAACAAAAAACAAACAAAAACAAACCCGATATTTCAGTTGTAAAACCCAAGTAGAAGATAGCTTCTCCAAGAGGCAAAAACTACCTCCTTTTAAGTATTATTTAGATAAACGGAAAAAATGAAGGAATTCTGAAGAGAACATATATGTGAGCAATTTTTTTACCAACCAAAATTGCCTTTGCTTATTATTTTCTGCTTAGGTAAAAAGTACTGAAATTCAAACCTTTAAGTCTTACAACGGATAAACACAACACATGAATTTTTGCACAAAGGATGAAATTTTGAATTTATGAGTTCTACCCTGAAAAGTGACTATAACCATGGAATTGTGGGATCTAGGATCTTCTTTCCCCTTCCCCAATACTCTCACCAGCAATAAAAGGCTTTACAGGGCAAATTATTTCCTTCCTAACATCTGTGTAACCCTATTTACCTCAATTGATTTACACAGAGGTAAATGTGTAGACCTGTAACTGGAACTTGAAAAAACAACAACCTTGAAATAGAATCCAGCTTACTTTTTCTTAGCTGTGTCACCCCTACAAGAATAAGTTTAAAAATGTCACTACTATTAGCAGATAATTCTGAACAAACATTCAGATTTGTTGGATTAAAAAGGTGCCATTTTTGCAGTCTCTTTTCAGAGTGGAAAAAGCCCCAAAGTGAAACTATGATTCACCAACCCTTTCAGCTACGGCAAATGTTGATTCAGATAAAACCGTATTTAAAATATTTATCTGTCCGTTATTAAATATGTTGTTCTTGAAAATATATGCTTCACTCACTTTCAGCTAGTTTACCTAGACTGATAATACATGCAATGTGACATGGCAGTTCAGCATGCAACCTTGCTATGAAGGAAACACTGGACATCTAGTGAAGGCTATATATATTGAATACTTGACGCACACGATCCTTGGGGAGCAGGGCATGAACTGTATTACTAAGCAGCAGCCTTACAAATACAATCTACCCACTGCAGAGTCACTGTTCTTAGATGAGGCTAGTTCCCTGGTGGTGGGCTTTTAGGGAAGGGAAAATGGAGTAATAAAATATAAAAAATTATTTTAAAGAAAAACTGAAAATAGAAATGAAAAATATTTACAAAGCAAACAGATAAACTAGGACTTGTAAGAAAACAGCAATTTCTATTTTTTCCAGAGCGAGAGAAAACTATCATGCTTTCTAGGAAAAATCCCACAGTACAAGAGAATATGCTGAATTATGAAACACATACTCCAACTAGCAAGTAAAACTGCTAGTCTGCTGTTGCCAATTTTCAAAGGCATTGTTCTTAGACAACCATAGCTAATCTTTTTATGAATTTCTGCCATATTATAGAGATGTGCAATTTCAGAATACTAGAAAGAAAAACAACCAATAGGAATCAAAATAAACATTGACATCTGAAACATGAAGCCATGTGTGAAAACCATTTGACTTCTCACAAGGAAAGATATCTTATCAAAGTTAATTTTCTAAATGCTATGTATATTACTGGCATGCACTTTCCAAATCAAAGCAACCCCCTGAGAAAAAGTAGATGAATATTCAACGAAAAATGTTCCTTTCATATTATATATATATATATGTATATATATATAAGCAAAAACTTCCCTCTAAAATACTTAAATTTTATTAGTGAAATGGTACCAAAGATAACAAGTATACAAACGATCTTTGCTCTATGCTACTTACACATAAATAAGACAGCTGTTGTTGCAAGACCCGATCCTTCACAGTCTTTCTATAAGCATACAGATTTGTTATTCTTTTATTGGAATAAACTGTTCACCAGCCAACTGCATGTGGCTTAAACATCACAAAAATGACCATCTATACTTTACATGGTAAAGCATTTTCTATAGTTTTAATGGTACACAGCGGCAAGATACTTCAAATCCTAACAAAAATAAAGAGTGATTAAGCAGCTGCACAAACTGGGTTTCATTACCTTATAAAGTGGGCAACTTCTCATTCCCCATAAAACACTTAGGCTTCTGTAATTATTAACTTTAAAAAGGAAAATCAAATTGAAAGTAACTAACTAATATACTACTTAGCTTTTAAAATTGATAGAAATAACTCTTGAGGTAAGGCAATTAAGTCTTTTGATTGTATTTCATTGTATTAAAAATAAGTCTACTTGATTTTAGTATTAAACAAGTTTTAAAGGTCTTTTAAGAAATCTTACAATGATGAGATTACTTCAGAGCACAAGTCACATTTTTACTTGACAAAATATTTGCAGTGTATCATTCTCTCCAGTTACATGCTTTCTCCCCAAAGAATGAATCCAAAAAGGACATAGAATCTCTAACATATAACTCTAATGTAAATTCAACTACTATTCTTTTCAAACAAACTTTGCACACAATTCCTTTCACATCACACAACCAACATTAGAGAAGATGATTGAGAGGTAATGATTAAGGCCATCCAATGTACAGAAAAAGTTTAAAGAGCTCCCTTTGGATTTTGGTGAAATTAGAGCATGCTCTGTATTCAGTTACCATACTTCATAGTATGATGGTCCCCAAACTACACTTTTGCATTCATTTATATAAATCTTCTTAAAAATGGAGCTTCAGTCTTGAACCAAGTGAACCCAGCACAGCTTTTCTGACAAACCACTCACATTCTTGTCTACTGGTGTGGTTTTGGTAGAACAGCGATCGAGATTATGTAAGATGTAACCGAAAATTAATAGCACATATAAAGTTCCAGAAAATATACCACATTTTAAGAAGGCACTAAAGCTTTAGCTTGTGCTCCCATATACTATTTTGAAAACAGGGTATTGATTTTCATAACAACACCTGTACCATATGCAGCTGAACAGACCCACTGCAATATGGCTCAAAACAAAACCAGAAGTTCTGATACCACTATACAGATGTGCTTACTTTTGAGGATAGGAGAGGGGGAAGAAACCCAGTAAGCTAAACTATTATCTACAATATGGTGGTTGTTCCTTCTATAAATAGGACAGTAACATGCATTGTTCAACTACTATTAAAAGAAATATTCATTTCAGGGATAGTAATAAGAAAATGACTTTAAATAAGAAAAAATGAATCCGAGCAGTGAGCAAATGAAAACTTAATAGTCAGTGGGCGTTTAACGCAATAACGGCAAAACTATGTATTAAAGTAAAAACCCTTTTTTCCATAGCTGTCATTTACAAGGGAAAGTGTGTATATTTTTGCACCATGTCCAAGCACATCATCAAAACAGTACACATTGAAATAAAAAAAAACAAAACAAACACAAGGAAAAACAATACAAAATTCATTAACTAGCAATATTTTAACAACTTCCAATGCATACCTTCAGCTTATGCAGGTTTACATCTTTCAATTTCACCTTATCTGAAACAGTTCTTGGCAAAAGTTAACATAAATCATTTTACAAATAATACAGCCATCATGGAAATGCATGGATTCTCACAGATGAATAGTTCTGATGGCATTTGCCTTAATCATGGCATATATTACTGGTCCATGGTCTTTCTTGCTTTCCAGCAAGAAGACAACAAAGCTATCACAAGAATTGGAAGAGCTACTAGTACATATCAACCTGCTCAGTAGATTGCTTTGATGTTTTCTTCCTCTTTCAGGGAAATAAAAAGCTTTGGATTCACCCCACAGTTGAGTCAGAGGTCCATTCGTTACTTTATACCTCTTCCATTTTAACTGAGAGGTTTTCTTCATTTGGTTGACAGTTCCCATTCTGTTGTAGTTTGACTTCATCTGTCCTTTGTGTATCTTTATTTTCTACTGCCTTGTTAATTTCTGAATTCGCATCCCCTTTAGTGTGATCTTTATCCTACCAAGAATGTTAACAAGTTATATTTTTATAACAACAATATTCCATATTGTGCCAAGATTTCCAGAAGTAACTGGTGATTTTGGATATTTACATTTCTGGATACCCAATGGGAGACAGCTTAAAGAGGCCAGTTTTAAGAGCACGGGTGCTCAATAGCCTCTGAAAATCTGTCCCATTTAAGGGTGTCTGAAGTTGGGCACCCAAAACACACCAAAATCACTTTTGGAAATCTTTGCCTTAAAGAATTATATTTTGCTATATACAATTATTCAGAAGTAAAATAAAACAGAACAACAATACTAGAGAGATATCACTAACAACTCCATAGTTAAGACTTTGTGGAGTTTTCCACTTAAACCAGGACTAGATCTCTCTATTTCTAGTTTTAATGGTTAAATATTTTACCAAAATTTCTGTTCAGATGTCCACTACATTTTTATGATAGCTCTTGGATAAAATAATTATTGAAGTCTGTAGAGGAAGCAATTAAAAGTCAGTCAGTTTTTAAATTGGACACTGGCAGTCTCACTTTTTCACTTCTATAGTTAAATAGCCACAATTACAACTCTCTCAAGGACAGGCTACTTTTGAAATGTTAAAATTAAAAGCTCACAAGGTAATCAGTCTGAACACTTGATTTTTGCTAATAATATCCATATACCACTGTTCCCTGACCCACCTACTGAGCCTGCTCCTCCAGCTTTGCTCCTTGTAGAGTTCTCTAGCAAGCCTTTGACCCTGGGGAACCAGGAGGCAGCACTGTGGAAGGGAAGTACAAGGTAGACACATAGTTCTGCAACTGAGCTGCCTTTTTTGGTTGCCTACACAATGTGCCATATGGCTGCTCAAACAGACAGGCAGCCAACCCACTCCTCACCCGATATTTCTTTATTCCATCCCACTCATTTCTCCCTACCTACCCACTCAAGCACCTGAAGAGTTGGGAAGGTTCAAGTAGGGAAACCTAGTCTAATGGATCTGCCAAATTAACTTTCTTTTGGAGCACCTGTCTCTTGCTGGCAGGAACTATACTTAAGTGTCCAAACTAGCAAAGAATGAAGACAGAAAGGACAGATTTTGTCAAGAATCAATCAAATTCTACTGTTCAGTCACTTTCCTGTTCATCACTTGTTCACAAGTGCTTACCTTCAGTGTAGTAGTGGTTTTGTCAGACTTCTCCTTCCCATCTTTTTCTTTGCTACTTTTTTTCTTGGATGTGGATTGCTCTCTCTCTTTTCTTTCATTATTTGAATCCCTTTCTTTCTCTCTCTTTTTGTCCTTCTTATTTCTGCTTAAGAAAGTTTGTAGACATTCAGTAATTGAGTAAACCAATTGAATACTAAAAAGTTCTTTAGAAAGCTGTAATTCTTCGAATCAACCCTTCATTTTCAGTACTGAACTGTAACACTAATGTGTTTCAACTGGTGGTTCCTATGTAAGAGACTGTGTAATTCCGCAGCTTCTTATTTTAAAAAAAATATTTTCTGAATCATCCAAACAGCATATTTCTAAAAGACCCTGAAGATGTACAGGTGTGGAATTTACTGAAAGGACAAATCTCTTCATGCCAAATAATAATGATCAGAAGCATTTCTAATTGAATACATATATGATTTAGCGAACAATGCTAAAAAAAAATCCAAAATCCATATGTACCGTATGTGCAACCATGCAAAAATTATTAAGTACTGTACTGTATTGTATACTTATATCCATTAAAAAAAAAAAGGTAATTTGTCTTACACGCCCAAGTCACTCGCACTGATCTGGAAATAACTGCTCATACATATAAGGTTTTTCATCATTTGCTCTTTTGTTTAATAGCTATCAGAATTTGGGAAAGTAAATTCACAATCTTTTTCTTATGAACAACTAACTGAAGGAGTTTAATGGTTAGCAGATCAGTAACTGCAGTTTGATTCCTTTAATCTCCAATTAGATCTAGAATTACTATCAAAACATTAAGTTGCACACCAGACACACATCTGTGAGACTTTGCAAAAGAATGGGTAAAAGAGAGAAGAGATTAAATATTTGTAAAAATGCAAAACACTGTCAATTTTCTCACTCAAAAGAGCTGAAGAATTTAATTTTCAAAAATATACAAAGAGGGGCGTGAATTGACAAAGGACAGCTGTACAGAGCAATAAGGATCTTTGATCGATTTGGACGTAGAGAATGTAAACAGCTCCAAAATAATAAATCAATACAAGATTGAACTGAGACTTGAATCACTTTGACCAAATGAAATTATCTGAAGTGACAGAAGCGTAATAAAAGAGACTCAGGCAGGGGTGATGAACTGATGAGAACAGTGTTTCCAAACAAGTTTTTTTCCATATTCCCAGATTCTCCACCTAAGATTCTGTTTTGGAGAAAGAGGGCTGATCTTGTCATTTACATACAAGACAGGCAGAAAGCTTCTTACAAATGCTGAAAAAAAAAAAAAAAAAAGAACTGCCCAGAAGGAATCCAAATCTCCTCAGCAAATTTTTTTGCATGATACTGGGAAGCTAATGAAATTTCAGTATGGGAGAAAGATCATTAAAGATTTTCCTTTTTAGCTGTCCATTTTAGTTCTAATATATTTATAAATCCCACCTCCTTGGTGATGGAGACCGAGAGGACTTTCTCTTTGATGTTCTGGATGATTTTGGAGACTTGGAAGGACTTCTACTCTTCCTCTTACGTCTTTCTCTGTAAGACCAAGAAGTTCAAAATTAGGCAATGAAGATGCACAATACATTAGATAATGGCCTAAGAAAACAGATGGTTCTTAACATTATTCTTTGGCATGACAGCTCGTTGACACTGTTAATGTCCTGCAACATGCTGGCCACTACTAAGTGTATGTCTCACTGATTGTACATATATTACACAAGTCAAGAAATTTAAAGCTTTCTGTATGTGAGAATTTTGTGGGAGGAGGCATGGCAGAGGGAAGTGGCAGAAGGAGATTATGCTTCTTCAGTTTCTGCTATATCACATTTTGGAAGAGAATAAATTTACCTTCTCAGGTGATAATGGGCACCTGATAGAGTTAAATTTATTACCACCTATTGTCATTACAATAAAGCCCAGGATGAGGACCTCATTGTACTAGAAGCTATTGACCTCAGCGGGGCCAGGGTCACCTATGGTCCCTCCTCTGAAGAGTCTGCAATATAAGAAATGTTCCTCCTTCAACGTAAGAGCCAAGAATTACTATTATTAAACATGAATCTTTAAATTATCAGCTGAGTTGATAAGTAACGAAAGAAACTATTACTAGAACACATACCTTAAGAATTACAAATACATACATTTTAAAGGGGCATGAGAAAAAAGCTTTTTAACTATCTTGTCTTGAGTTTGGAGATCTAAATTTCCTCTACAGGAGCTGATGAAACCACTAACATTTACCTTGCATGGAGCTGCATTCCTTACAGTGTTCTGAAGCTCAACTGTAAAATAAGCTGATTCCTCTGGCCCTGATCAAAGAAAGCACTTAGGTATGTGCACAAATTTTAAGCATGTGAGTAGTGTATTTAAACTTGAGCATGAGCTGAAGTGCTTTGTGGGATCAGAGCCAGAGGACCCAGACCCTCACAGAATCAGTCCCAGAGGTGTTTGTTGTAAATCATGACAGGGAACATTTTAATATGGATTAAAACATTTCTATTATTATTACTTCTCAAAGGATGACACGCTATTGTTAACAAACAATGCTGTATTAAAAAAAATAGGACACAATAGTTGTATGGGAAGGTTGAAACCCAATAAAATCCAACAAACAAAGGAAATTCAGATTAAGTCAGATTCTTAACATTTTATTTAAATGAGAATTTGGTAGGGTTTTTTACGAGCTACCAAAGGTTGCTATTCTAGGATCTGATCCAGGGTGTTGCTGAATACTCGTAACTCCCCCTGACTGCACGTACAATGAACCAGGCATAAAACAAGAATAAATTAACTAGATCTAAAGATTAGTTTAATATTAAATTAGAGTATAAGATATATCAAAATGGATGCCCTCTTCCTGTTGGCATTTTTTCAGAACAAAAATTATCATGGTTTATTTCAGAAATTTGACGAAGCAGGACAAAAAGAGTTCAGGAGAGCTGGGAGTTTCTCAAAGAGACAATATTAAAGGCACAACAGAAAACTATCCTAATACAAAGGAGAGATTAAAAGAATAGTAAGAAGCCAATATGGCTCCATCAAGGGCTCTTTAAGTCTACAAAAACAGGAAACAAGGACAAATTGCTAAGAAAGAGTACAAAAGAATACCACAAGACTGTAGGACAAAAATCAGTAAGGCTAAGGCTTTGTCTACACTGCCAACTGAATGACAAAACTTTTCACAGGTGCTCAAAAAAGCCTCCCCCCCCTATCCCCCCGAAAGACAAAAGTTTTGCCAAGGCAAGTGGCAGTGTAAACTGCTCGTTGTCGGCAGGAGTGCTCTCCTGTTGACAACGCAAACCCCGCTTGTAGGGGGTGGAAGTATTTTGTTGGCAAAAGTGCCAACAAACAGGTTTACACTGCCCGACTTTTAGCAACACGACTGTGTCGCGAAAAGCTGTGTCGCGTAGACAAACCCGAAGACACAAAATGCATTACACCTAGCAAGGGACACAAGAGGTTCTATAAATACATTAGGAGCAATAGCAAGACAAAGGAAAGTGTAGGTCTACTACTTAGGGAAGGAGAGCACATGGATGACATCAAGAAGGCTGATATGTTAAATGCCTATTTTGCTTTAGTCTTCACTAAAAAGGTTAATTGTAACAAGATACTTAACACAATTAATAAAAAGAAAAGGAGTACTTGTGGCACCTTAGAGACTAACCAATTTATTTGAGCATGAGCTCAATTAACAATTAATGTTAACAACAAGGAGGAAGGAACCCATGGCAAAATACAGAAAGAAGAGATTAAATAATATTTAGATAATTAGAGGTATTCAAATTGGCAGGGTATGATGAAATTCACTCTATGATACTTTTAAGGAACTAGAAGTCTCAAAACTGTTAGCAACTATTTTTGAGACTTATGGAAATGAGGTCCCAGAGGGCAGGAAAAGGGCAAACATAGTACCTATGTTTAAAAAGGAACAAAGAGGACCTGGGGAATTTTAGACCAGTCAGCCTAACTTCCATAGCTAGAAAGATACAGGAACAAATTATTAAACAATTTGTAAGCACCTAGGGCAAGGGTGGGCAAACTTTTTGGCCTGAGGGCCACATCTGGGAATAGAAATTGTATGGCAGGCCACAAAATTGGGGTTGGGGTGCGGGAGAGGGCTCTGGTTGGGGGTGTGGGCTCCAGGGTAGGGCCAGAAAAAAGGAGTTCAGAGTGCGGGAGGGGCTCCAGGCTGGGGAGTAGGGTGTGGGGAGAGGCTCAGGGGTGCAAGCTCTGGGCGGTGCTTACCTCAAGCGGCTCCCAGAAGCAGCGTCATGTCCCTTTTCTGGCTCCTACGTGGCCAGGTGACTCGTCCACAGACACTGTCCCTGCAGCACCCATTGGCTGTGGTTCCGGCCAATGGGAGCTGTGGGGGAGGTGCTTGGGGCGAGGGCAGCATGCAGAGTGGAGCTCCCTGGCTGTCCCTATGCATAGGAGCCAGAGGGGGGCCATAACGCCACTTCCAGGAGCCAGGCGGAGAGGCCTCCGACCCTGCTGCCCGGCTGAAGCACTGGAATGGGGCAAGCCCCCACCCTCCTCCCCAGCGGGAGCTCGAGGGCCTGATTAAAACAGTTGGCGGGCCATAGTTTGCCCACCCCTGACCTAGGGGATAATACGGTGATAAGGAATAGCCAACATAGATTTGTCAAGAACAAATCATGCCAAACCTATATAATTAATTACATTCTTTAGGGTTTTAATCATCTACTGGATAGAGAGGAAGCTGTATATGTGATAAATCTTGATTTTAGTAAGTCTTTTAGCACAGTCCTGCATGACATTCTCATAGGCCAACTACAGAATGGAGTCTAGATGAAATTACTATAAGGTGCATGCATATTGGTTGAAAGCCCATACTCATGAAAGTTATCAACAGCATGCGGTCAAACTGGGAGTATGTATCTAGTGGGGTCTCACAGGGGTCTGTCCTAGATCCAGTACTACTCAATATTTTCATTAGTGACTTAGATAATAGAGTAAACAGTATACATGTAAAATTTGTGGATGACATCAAGCTGGGAGGGTGTGCAAGCACTTTGGAGAACAGGGTTAGAATTCAAAATGATGATTTTAGATCAGTTCTCCAATTTAACAAGATGAAACTCAATAAAGACAAGTACAAAGTATTACGGTTAGGAAGGAAAAAAATCAAGTGCAAAAATACAACAACATTGGAATAACTGGCTAGCCAGTAGTACTACAGAAAGGGATCGGGGGGTATCATGGATCACAAACGGAACATGAGCCAAAAATGTGACGCAACTGCAAAAAAGGCTAATATCGTTCTGGGGAGTATTGACAGGAGTCTTATATGTAGCACACGAGAGATAATTTTCCTGCTCTACTCAGCACTAGTGAGGACTCAGCTAGAATGGGGTGTCCAGTTTTGGGCACCAAACTTCGAGAAAGATGTAGAAAATATGAGAGATCCAGAAGTCAGCAACGAAAATGATAAAAGGTTTAGAAAACATGACCTATGAAGAAAGATTAAAAACATGGAAATGTTTATCTTGGGGGAAAAAATGACTGAGGGGAGCACCTGATAATCTCCAAGTATGTTAAGGGCTGTTATAAAAAGAGGACAGTGATTGATTACTTCTTGCCCTACCCTCAGTGGACATAAAGAACAATTGGCTTAAATGGCCAGCAAGGGAGATTTAGGTTAGATATTAGGAAAAACTTTCTAACTATAATGCTAGTTAAGCCCTGAAATAGGCTTCCAAGGAAGGTTGTAGAATCCCCATCATTGGAGGTTTTTAAAAACAGGCTAGACAAACACCTGTCAGGGATAGTCAAGGTGTATTTATTACTGCCGCAGCACAGGGGGGTGGATAAAATAACCTCTTGAGGTCCCTTCCAGCACTACATTTCTATGATTCTACACTAAGGCTTGGTTTACACTTGAAAGTTGTAGAATCATAGCTACGTCGGTAAAGGGGATCAAAGTAGATATGCCAACATAACCCCCAGTGCAGATGCAGCTAGGTTGACAGAACAACACTTCAGTTGATGTAGCTGATATCATTTGGGAAGGTAGTGTTCCTCTGCCGACAGAAAAATTCCTTATGTTGGGGTAGGCTGCATCTTCACTACGGAAACTAATACTACATTCCCCCTTTCTGAAAACAGAAGGATGATAAAACCTTTATCCAAACTTTTCCTTAAGCACCACAAAACACAAATAACAGACCTATAAAAGATAGCATAGCCTGCCTGAACCTTCAGACTTGTATCAGCGATTTATTCTGACTTTTTAGGACTAATTCTTTGACATTCTTGGATTCTAGGGATTTGTTGGGTTGTTATTTGATCTCATTTTTGATACCCTGAATACAAAACTGTCTTTATTTCCTCTTTACACAGACTCTTAGCTTCTTACTCGCAGCTCCCTAGCGGCCATCCTGAATAGTAGGGCTTAACACGACAATGCAAAGAACAAGAAGATTAGGCGATAGTCTGAAACAGATCCTTCACTGAGTGAAAAGGGTCAAGCAATGTCTAGTCTGGATCCTGATGCAGTAGTCTACACCATTATTCCCAGTGCCAAATTTGACAGAAACAAGGGAGCAAGTGGGACATCCTCATGGAAATGAGAACTCCCACGATGATCCTCAGTCTCCCTCAGAGATGGCAGTCCACACAAAACTGTTCCAAAGAGGAATTTCTGCACATTCATAATTGGTTCCCTGCTTATTTAAATAGGGAAGTATGGGGAAGGCTCCGAGATTTGCCTCAAACCAGCAGCATCGTCAGCATTACCAGACCCTTTCAAGTACTCAGACAGGAGGATGTATTTTTTCTTTTTTTTGCACAAAGAAGTATCTCAATACTTTCAGTATGTCCAATTTACAGAATTCAGAAGAAGAGTGACATTTCTTTCCCTTTTTGACTCTTCTTAGTCCCTGAACTGACTGGTCTCTTTTTGCACTTTGGAATCCATGTTCAACTTGGCCTTCATCAAAAAAAGAAGGACCTGTTTCTGATGTGGATGGAGAGTCCTTCTGAGCTAGGCTATCAGAAATTAGACTATCAATCCCTCTGACCTCTTCAGGTGAAAGTGGCACTATAGAGAACCTCTCAGATAGACACGTTTCACTAAAGTATAGGAAGCATTGTGTCAATTAGTCTGCCATGTACATCTTGGCTTTACACAAAGGGTACCACAGAAGTCAGATGTGTCAGTCCTCAGTTCCAAAGGAAGATCCCCTTGACACAAATATGAAAATAAAACAACAGGATTAAACTGCACAATGCTAATTCACACTAACTTTACTAAACTACAATAAAAGCTAAGTAGAACAAGATAAACAGCTAATATTCCTCTGCTCTCTGTTGGCAGTTTTTAGCATTGTAGGGAACAATGCAATGAGGTTCTAGTGGATAGAAGTAACTGAGGAACTATATAACCTAGAGACCAAATGGTTGGTGGGACAAGGGAGCATGCACGCTGCCTCACAGACAAATGTGTACAATATAGGTTCATCCCAAGAGTGTGTCTTGAAGCAGGCAACCACCTCAAAAAAGAGCTATCATCCAATTAACTGAAGGACCAGAGTAGGAGGCTAAATCTGAAACCAACTTTTGTCAGTCTTGTTCTATGTTAATCTCACATGGGACATAAAAAACCCAAACTTCCTGCTGATTATTTATGTCATAAAGCTAAATGTAATAAATGTTGCTTTCCCTGGAGGTGAAATAAAACATGTAATAATTTCTGAACAGAAATAAAAAAAAAAAAAAAAAGAGTAGGACAGAGAAATAAAGCTTCAAGGTTTTCTCCCCAGAATCAATTTAGAGAGAACAGTATCACAGAAAATTAAACTATCTTCTTAATAAATGACATCGCAATACTGATGCATAGTATTTAGGTTTTGTGTTATCTCATTGTACTGACAGGTTAAGAACTAGCATAGCAAAATTATCAAACAGAATCAAACCTGCTGGAACTACGAGATCTTCTTAGAGAACTGTAGCTTCTGGGAGGTGTTCTGGATCTCTTCTCTTTCTTCTTTTTATCATCGCTCTCTTTGGACCTCTCTTTTTCTCTTTCCCGTTCCTTCTCTTTGTCCCCTTCCTTGTCTTTGTCCTTCTCCTTGTCACCCTCCTTCTTCTCTCGGTCCTTCTCCCTGTCCTTCTCCTTAACCTTCTCCCTGTCCCCCTCTTTCTCCCGATCCTTTTCCTTGTCCCTGTCCCCCCCTTTCTCCAGGTCTGTTTCCTTCTTGTCCCGGACTACCTCCTTCTCCTTGTCCCTGTCCTTCTCCCGGTCTTTGTTCCTCTCCTTTTCTTTGTCTCTATCCCTCTCTCGGTCCTTGTCCCTGTCTTTTTCTTTATCTCTGTTCCTATTTCTCTCTTTGTCTCTGTCCCGCTCCCTTTCTTTTTCTTTATCTCTGTCTCTCTCCTTCTCCCTGTCTCGGTCCTTGTCCTTCTCTCTGACCTTTTCTTTTTCCTTGACCTTTTCTTTGTTTTCTTTGTCTTTTTTCTTGTCCCTACGAAAAAGAAACATTCATTCATCATTGAAATGACCCTAATAAAAAGCTGAATTCACTCCTTTACCCTACTAATAAACACTCAACAAAACTCATAACTCTCTCTTTCAAAAATAATCACAACTATGCAAAATGTAAATTTCCCACCCACCTCATTCCTAACAATCTAGCTTTTTTCCCCTGCAGCTGCTGAAGGCAGAGGTATAAAAAAGAAAAGGAAAAAAAAACAATTAATCTTTAGACTAATGACATTATAGCATAGGAACAGACTATGAATAAGTGCAGTATACAGTCTATGGACGTTTGTAGGAACCTGAATGCTGAAGTAGACTTTCCAGCATATTGTGGGAAATTTTTAAACTTGGCTTTTAAACATTTCTTCTCATAACAAAGAGGAGTCTGGTGGCACCTTAAAGACTAACAGATTTATTTGGGTATAAGCTTTTGTAGGTTAAAAAAACCCCACTTCTTCAGTTGTATGGCTTATGCCCAAATCAATCGGATAGTCTTTAAGGTGACACCGGATTCCTCATTGTTTCTGTGGATTGTGGACTAACATGGCTTTGTTTTGTTTTGTTTTTGTGGACTAACACGGCTACCCCTCTGCTACTTCTCATAACAGGGAATCCATCACCCTAGGATGGACTATAGGACAGTGTTTCTATTTGTGGTTAGGTCCAGTAAAGAATAGAGACAACTGTACATTATTTTTATTGAGTCTGCAAAAAAGAAACCCTACACAAATAATGTGTATATTTAATTTTCTTCCCTCAAGTTAATAAGTATTTCAGGAAAAATTGTAAGGGCTACCAGCAAGAGTTGGTGGCCACACTCTGAGACCACCAAAAATGTTGTTGCGAGAACCCCTGCTATAGGATAACCACATCCTCAGGAACTCACAAAAGAAGCTCAAACTATAAAACTATAGTTTTAGTCCTAAACTAATCTACCACACACATTATATCTATATCCTGGAACTGTGCCACAAATCCAGGATAATTGTTATTGGACTTTAAACAAGGGAAGTTAAGTTACATATTAACAAAGGAGGGAAAAATATACAGACCGATGGATTCTTTGTTATAAAAGGGCAAATTTACACGCAAAGGCAACGTTGTCTTATTCTCATATAGAGGCAATTCATCAGTCTGGATTAGTCTATTAGGAGTTGGCAAGCTACCCAAAATGCAGAAAGGGAGGAAGAAAACAGAAATATATGGCTCACGGAAGGATGGCAGACCGTAGACCCTAATGACTAAATACTATACCTGAGGAAAATGGGATATCCACATTGCAGTATTTTTTGAGAGAGCGGACAGATGTCCAGGGTGTTGATTTGCACATTTCTTTGTAACAAACAATTTCAATATGTGTGAGAAGTGGATTTTGTAGAATGAAGGATTTTACCATCTTTTTTATAAGACATCTATTACTTGTAGCCACCAGCAGGTGGTTTCTTTTGCAGCTGGAGGTGGTTATTTTTGGAGCTATGAGGCCTTTGGTTTTGCCAGCATGATCTTTTTCCTGAACGAGTTTGTTCTGTCCAACTAATATTAATGGATTGACAGACATTTAACTTCCCTAGAATGAGAAGAATTGGGACAGAACCAAGATAGAAAGAAAAGAAAATGAGGACGCACGCCCTGGTTCCAAGGGCTGCTCTTTTAGTTCAGCCAAAAAAATTCAGCTTCCAGCTGGCCACAGAAGCTTTGACTGGAGAATGAAATTTTGCTACTGCCCTGGTGAACCTGCAAATAAGAAAGTCTGAACACAAACTTTCCCTTCCCAGCTGAGATGGCTCATAATGCAGCCATATGGATATATAAGGGGCTGAGGTTCAGATCTTTATTTAATCTATCAAAGAAGACTAATTTTGACAGTTATTGAATATGAGCCAAGGCTATGTTCAACACATCAATTTTTGAAGACAAGTTAGACACATTAGTAGGCCTGCGACATAGAATCCTCCCTGGATTGGAGGAATACATCCAGTATTTGCTTGGAGTACCCAAGTTCCCACAGATTCATCCTCTCAAGTTCTACAAGAACACCTAGAACTTGTCGATGTCTTGACAACAAAATGATCTCCGAATCAGAAGGTCTCTGGTGAGGAGTAGTCATCTGAGAGCAGAGGTTGCTGAAGAGGCATCATAATCACTGTTCAAAAAATGTTCCAATCTTTTAGCCACCGAGCTTTTGGAAGTAATTGTTCCATCTTGCAGAATTTGGTGGTTTTGTTTTGGTGGTTTTTGTTTACGAGTCAGATGAAATCTGAAGGTTTCTCTTGGCTGTGGGGCTCATTTGGGATGATCCCTCCAAAAAGGGACCCAGTGAAAAGCTTATGTGATTGCATAAATATCTCAAATCAAGTACACTGAAATTTCAGGATAAGTAAGAACTCCGTGAGGCTAAATGCCAGAAGAGATCACAATAAGATGAGGCCATTAATAGGTCTGCAACGCCCAGGATAGTTAGACGGGTTGGGAAAGATGAAGCTGCTTTGGCCACCAGTAGGAGACTTATTCTAGGAGGCTCATAAGTGTAGCTAGGGCTCCCTTCAGACAGAGTCCAGCCATGTGCCCCACTATCCCTACCTTTCTCCACCAGAGCCGGTGTTTGGTCAAAGCTCTTTCCACAGAGGCCTTCAGGTGATCAAGATCCAGTGGCCAAAGGCTCTGGTGCGGAGCCTGTGAAGACCACTGCTCCCACCAATGGGACATACATCCAGAAAGGCTGAACCGGTCAGGAGCAGGGGAGCGCCAACATCCTGTGGCCAGAAGGAGCTAATCATCAATGGATCAGGCCCAACCAATTCCAGCAGTGAGGTGCATTGCTCTCTGAAACGCTGGAGGAAGAGTGTGTGTCATGGGGAGAGAAGAGGCCAAATTACCTACAAAAGCAAGTCTGAAGCTCCCCTAAATGCATGAGGTAGAGCAGCGGTTCTGAAACTTAATTGCATCGTGACTCCCTTCTGACAACAAAAATTACTACATGACCCCAGGAGGGGGGACCGAAGCCTGAGCCCACTCAAGCCCCGCTGCCCCAGGTGGGAGGATGGGGGGAAAAGCTGAAGCCCAAGGGCTTCTGCCCTGGGTGGTGGGGCTTGGGCTTCAGACTTGTTGGGGCCCAGGGCCAACACCAGCCTTGGCGACCCCATTAAAATGGGGTCTTGACCAATTCTGGGGTCCTGACCCACAGTTTGAGAACCCCTGAGGTAGAATATAGAAAGATGCTTCTGCCAGATGGAGGCAGGACATTACAGACCACTTTGGCGCCAAAACTCTATCCAGTAAGCTGCCCTCATGAGTATCTGTTGATGTGGATAATTCAATAGTCCATCCCAGAGTGATGGATTGCCTGTGTATGCGAATTATGCTATTGTTCAATAAGATGAAGAATTAGCTTGATGGAATCCTGTAGTTGGCCAAACCAGATAGTCAAGAGAACTGAACATGAATAACTGGATTTGGATTAGGCTAGTCACAAGTAAACATTTCATAACACAAAGATGTATAGTTTTACTTATAGGAGGGAAAACAACCAACCTGAAATAACTAGAAAATTGGCAGAGCTAACATACACGCGGTGGATGTCTCTTTTGTGAATACTTGCTGATTTGTGACCAAATTCAACCCTAGTCTAAGCCAGTGCAACAACTTTGGAGTGATAGTTTGTGCCCACTTACACCATGGCTCAATTTGTCATGTAGAGTAAAATTTTCAGACTTGGTTGCCTAAAGTTTGGCATTTAACTAAAAACTACCTTATTTTCAATGATGCTGAACAACTGTAGTGACCATTGACTTCAGTGGAAGTTGAGGAAGCTCAGTACATAAGTTTAGGGACCCCAGTTTGAAAATTGTAACCATAGTACTTATTTTGCATAGTCTTTTTCTTGGGGAAATAAACATTATTTCAAACACCATGGAAGTCTCCACATTTCTACAGCCATGAAACTGATATCACAAAGGTATAAAATTTGAAAATTCAAGACAGAATAGCTTAGAGACAAACTTGATTTTATTTTTCACCTGCAGTCTACATTTTGTAAGGTTTTTCCAGAAGCTATGAACTAGGTAATAAGAAGTGTAACACCAACTGTTAGCAAAGAAAGCTCACCGGGAACGAGAACGACTTCTTGACTTCCGCCTTTCCTTAGACTTGGAACGTTTTTTGGGAGGACTTTTGGATCTACGCCTATCCTTCTGACTAGAGAGTGATCTATTGTGTGATCTACTCCTGCAGCAAACAACATTAGAGAATAAATACTACATTTAACCTTGAGACTTCAGAAAAGAAACAACTGAAAAAAAATACATAAACCATCGAAATTAAATACATAGTATTTCATCTAATTATTATACCTAGTCCACAGTGAACTTTTTCACAGTTTTCCACGTTTAAAATTTGATCAGACTGACCCACCTCTTTCAAAACAGTATACCATTTAAAAAACTCTGCTACTACAATGTCATAGCAAAGAATTAACACACAGAAATGTCAGGAAAAGCAGAATTATGAATCATACAGCAACTGGACATCCTTGAATATACTGTAAAATATTAATACATCATATTATCATCCCAACGAGAGTGTGAAGTTTAATACAAAATTAAATTTGCACTAATTGGTCCATATTGCTGGCATGCAATATAGAAACTACACCTGCTCAGTTAATATTCTTAAATATTCCTGTGGTAAAAATATGATTGTGCTATTTGAATTTTACTGTAAAGATAGTTTTATAATAAACAGAATTTAATTTTACAATATACTGCTGTTAAATCTATACCTTTGTATGTATACACAATTTAGCTTAGTTACAATGTTACAGGAACCAAGATTTTGGATCACCCTATTCTTGGGTGTTTAAATTATTAAATGTAACATTGTATTAATGTTTTCTCTTGCATTTCTTCAATCATTCAATGTGTGGACAGGCAATCTTAATTTTTGCATTTTCTACACCCAGAAAGAATCGACCTCCTACATAACACAGGCCACAAAATTTCATCCAGCAATTCCTGCATCAAAGTTCCTAACTTCTGGTTCAATTAGGGCATATATTATAGAAAAAGTATCCAATCTTGATTTAAAACACATCAAGCAATCGAGAATCCACTATATCCTTAAGTAAGTGGTTCCAATTAAAGGTACCATGATCAATCACCTCTTAACCTTCTCTTGAATAAGCGAACTAGATTTAGCTTTTTAAATCTCCCAATGTAATGAAGGTTTTCCAGACTTCAAACCATTTTTCTAGCTCTTTTCCAAAGCCTTTCCAATTTGTTTTTTTTTTTTTTTAGAACAGTGATCAGAACATAGTTTTCCAGTACTGGTCCCAGTCTGCATAAAACAGGAAAAAATGGGTTGCAGAAATAGAATAGGAAGAATGTTATTCAATATAAAGATCAGTAGAGAGAAGAGACAGCCAGGTTAGGTTGATTCTAGGAGAATTTCTATCCCCACCCATTTCACACTCCCATCCTTTTTAACACAACTGTATCATTTTGCATGAACAGTATCTATTAGGTAGAATTTTTTCTCCCTTGCATTTGTTCTTTTCTTTTTTAACTTCCTTAACTTTATTTTTCCCTTTCTACCACCATGATTCTTCTCTTTTGTCTTTTTCAATATGACTTTTCTATGTTGGGTAAATATTTATCTTCCTTTTCCTCTCCATTCTCGGTCTGTCTTTTCCTATGTTATTTTGTCTTCTTCCTTCCCTCCTCTTCTTCTATCATTCTTTTCTTCTCTTATGTTCGACATTCCCAACCTTTCTATACTTTCTCCACCTTTACCTTATTCTGGGACTACTGAACACTTCAAATCTCTGAGTGGGTTTTTCCCCCCCCTTTTTCTTTTTTAAATCTGCACCCTTTTCTTTCCCTCCAAAGTTATCCCAGTATAAGATACAGGATAGGCAATATTCATTCTGGACCAGTAACAAATTCAAGGTCCTACATCTGGCACCATCAGGGCTAGAAAAAAAGTGCAGTATACACATACTGATGGACACAGCACTAATTTTTAGAGGATTGTAAAAAATTAAATTACATTTTCCCCTTCCTCCAAGTCCTGTTCAGTTAGCTCATGGTCATTAAAGTGATTTGGCTTTACAGGTTTAATCTATCTTGGCTTTCCAGCCTCAGTACTAACATACTTCTAAAGACTCTGTGAAACCTCTCAAATGGTTTCTCTGTAAAAGATGGCAGATCCAAACATACGATGGTGTGATATCAAGTTTTAATAGTCCTCATTTTGGATTATCTGCCCAACCTATCTCTGGCTTTGCACTTGGGTATAACATGGCCATCTCAAATCCATGCTAATAAATCCTTTCTACCATATCATCATATGCCAAATATTCTCCCTTAGTCTGTATATATGACATTCCAATATAGTGTATGCATTTATTAAATGTCAAATCATAGAAATAAATGCAAATAGATTTATTCCAATGTGCAGACACTCAAGTAGAAACATGCTTGACTTATTTCTGTATAAACATACTCAGTATGCACTCAGATTTCTGTAGAAAATGACATGCTGTGATATTCTCCACATTATTGTCAATAAATCATAACTTACTGATTTGAACCTTTTTTCTCCTCACTCTGGGAAAAAAGCACATCCCTCTCAAAAACTTTGTACTAGAGCTGGGCAGGAAACGTTTGTTTGTTTTTGTCCCACAAGAATTTTAAAGATTTTGAAAGTTTCCTGCCCCAAATCAGGATGAAAAGTCAAAATCTTGAAAACGTTCATAAACCAAAAATCTGGGAGGTTGGGGAGAAGAAGGATTGGATCAGACAAATTCATTTAATGAATTTTAAAATGATTTGTTTCAATTTCAAACTTACGCTTTTCCTTTTTTTTTTAACCTATAAATTAACTTCAATTTAAAAATTAAATGTTGTGTCAACCCAAAAAAGGGAACTTTTGTTTAGAAAATGTCAAAATTTCAAGCCTTTCTTTCAAAAAATTTTCAAAACAAAAAATTCATTAACACCTTTCACATGAACAGTTTAGGATTTGACAAATCAGCATTATCTGACACAAAAGAAGTTTCATCAAAAAATTCCAGATCAGTTCTACTGAGTTTGATATTTTAGGGACCAATTTTAAGTTGCCTTGCCCCATCTAAACTTACCAAGGAAAGTGCAGGTTGACAGGAAGCACTCATGTTTATAACTGTCAAAATCCTGAGGAACAAAAAGATGCACAAAACGCCAGCACCACCTATGTTCTGCAACTCAAGACGCATACACAAAAGAGGGTATACCAGGGGAAAGGTTAGGGTTGTTCTGCCTAGAGCTGTGCTTCGCATATTAATGTGGAATAGTCTGTCAACTAGATGCCAAACTAATTCCAGCTCAGTTAGAATAAGGCCTCTATGATTGATGAATTTGAGATGAAAGTAACTTGGGGATGATAAGCCACCAAGAAACAGGGAATGGCTGAGGGAGGTTTATTCTGAAAATGCTGTTGACTCTCTGCCAGGATCAGAATGATCTTTAATTCGTTAAGTCCCCAGAACTGACTGCAAAATAAATTCATCGTACTACCATGCAAAGCACTGGATTCAGACATTTCTTTACCTGTATCTAATTTTGAAGCAAGCAAGTGAGAATTTGGCTCTTAAAGCACAGTCAGCTCTGAGTTATCCATAGACAAAAGAATCTGAAAACTGTACTGTGTGACATGTAAAGCTTTCTTAAAAGAGAAGTTTTCTAGCTATGTGCTGACTGTCCCAAATAGGCATTCAGCAAATAATTGATTGTAAAAATATAATTCTTCAATCTTTTAACATCATAGAACACAACCTCTGGTTATACCTACTGGAACAAACTGCAAAACTAAAGCCAAGCCTTCAGTGATTGTGCAAATCACTTCTCTTTGGTAGTATATGGATGTGGTGAGTCCTTATGGGTCACCTACATTGCCCACCATGGAGTTTTGGTAGTTGCCACATCACAGGACAATGCATTCAGGGGCATAACACAACTGCTGATGCAATACTGAAGAAACTTAACTTAAAAAAAAAGTTACTTTACATTCACTTCTATGCTAAATTTCTCTCACTCTTTTGCTATCTGAGGTAGTGGGTACATAACTTAGAAATATCCCCATAGCCATTTGGATAATCAAAGTTTCAGACAACAGGAATTCTGATTGCAGGAGACATTTCCAAAATTGAGATAACAGGAGTTTACCCTTGTCTCATTTGCGGGTAAAAAAGTTTGCAGGTAACTTTTTAAGAGTATACAGACAACTTTACTTCCATATTTAGATGACTTGGAATTTACAACCTAACCAAACTTTAAACATTAAAAATCAAAACAAATTCTCAGACCAAAATAGTGGGGGTTAAAATTTAACCAGAATTGGTGGGGGGTTTTTGTGTGACATGCATTTTCAGACTGAGTCCGTTAAATAATATTTATAATTTTGGGATACTAGGAGTATCATACCAGCAAAAGCCACGATACCATCGAACAATCCAGGCCATCAATAGGGGGGAAAAAAATCTGACTACACTGTCCACCAGCAAAGCACAATTAATTGTATCACATTCTGAAATCGAGACCTTTCAAGATTTAACAAAAATCAAGCTACTCAAATGTGAGCATTTTATCTTCATCTGCTCTAACTGAAACCAGTCCTGTATCTTTTGAACACTATCCCAAAATAGCTTTTCCATGATGGTTGTCTGGTTTTGGGGAATGAAAATCTGCCCAAACGCATAAAGTTCTTATTTTGGTTCAGTCAACAGTATCAGGTACTTCAATAAATCTCTCCCAGCAATTCTTGGCTCAGAATTCAAAGACAATCTCAAAAGCTACTGCCATCAAGAAACACAGTGTAATCGCTTACTGCAAAATGGAAAGCATTCTCACCTGCGTTTTGAGCGTGATCTTTTCCTTCTAGATCGGGATTTTGAACTAGATCTGGACTCTGAACGAGAATGGGAACGAGATCGACCGCCTTTTCTTTCACTGCTCTTTCCAGACTCTGAGAGGAAAAAACCACTTTGCAGTGTAAGCTCAGAACATTTAAAGATCCCAGTTAACAATCTGGCACAAGTGGAATGTACCACATATAGTGCAATGGGCCTACTCTCTGCACATCTTCCTTCTTTGCAAAAATCCTTCAGAAACATCCAAGAAAGTCATTGCATATACTCGTTGAGTGCAGCCATCCTGCAGCAGTACACATAAACCAGATAATTATAAACAGCTAGCTGAGTAAGGAATGGGATTTATGTTGCTGCCACAATGCACAAGATTACAACATGTTCTCTTCTTGGCTTATTCAATTATATAAATTACTTTTTCTGAAAAAAAAATTAACTTCTGAGAATAGACAAAATTCAGAGTAGCAATTTTGAAAACGTGCACAAAAATTTAAATGACACTCAGCACTTAAAGTACTTTATATTTTCAAAGCACTGTATAAATATTAACTACTTAATCCTCACAACCCTTTGGAGAAGTATGTAAAGGTCTGGTCCAAAAATCCTGTAGTAAATGGAAAGTTTCCCACTGACTTTGATGGGCAGTGAATCAGGTCCCCTCTGATGATACTATGAGTAGTATTAAAAAAATAACTAGGAAATTTTAGAGTGTTGTGTCTTCCAGTTTTGTCCAGGGCAGATAATTATGCAGTGTCTAGGTTTGTTAATGACAATGAAACATCTCAAAGGTCTATGAAAAATCTTCATTGTTATCTTAATTAAAAGTTTTTTTAAAAAGATAAACAAATTCCTATTCTTTCATGACAAGCGAAGGACAACAAAGAATTGATAGAGTGAAAAATGTAATGTTTGTAAAGCACTTTGAATATAAAACAGCATTAGCATTAAGCATTATTAGGTATTATAATAGTATTGACTTCACAATTTTAAGCTATTGACAGCATTCATTGAACAAATCTTTGAAAATAAAATATGTCAAAACAAATTTGAAAAGAAACCTGGATTCCACCGGCTTGTCAAATAAGAAAACAATTTTGATTATTCAACTTTTACCAAAGACAAATACTGCTCATCTTGAGGGAGTCCTTTTCTCTGTCTGAAAATGCTCTATAAATGCATATCAAGATACACAGATTGAGATATACTGGTTTCATCCTAACTAGCGAACATAATGGATTTACCTGGCTCAATAGCTGCTGATATGAAAGACTGGGCTTCCCTTACTCTCTTCATCACTTCTTCCAACTCCTTGGCAGCAGCTTGTGGAGTCATTTCAGGAGGTTTCACTATTGCATTATTGGAGTGATTTATTCTAAAGTAAGGAACAAACCTAGCTTTAAAATTATGCTTGTGCACACTTTTTTTAAAAAAACTTGATTTAGAAAAAAATAAAAAATAATAAGATAAATATACACTGCACCCTATCCATAATTAGCTTGTTTATAGATTTCTTCCTTATAATCACCGACACAATTTAAGTATTTACACATAATACCTGGTTTTTATTGCCTAAAACCTTTTTACCTTGAATAAATGCATTAATACACATGGTGATGCCCATATTTATGTGGCATACAAACGTTTTCAAACAATAGAAGAATAAGAAATTTAATCTTTTTTAAATTAAAGGTGAAATTTATATCCTGAAACCTATTTACCACATAAGCCCCATATTTAGGGCTTAAGTAGAGCCTAGTGTGAGTCATCTACACGGTGATAGATTTCACCCTCAGAGATTAAGTATTAGTATACGCTGCTCTGTTCTACACTATACCCTTATCCAGGGGAAGTAACTTTCACTCTTGAAAATGTAAAAGAACAGGTATCAAAGGCTACAGAAAGCAGCACCCTGCTAATACAGGCCTTGCAAACTGCTTTGTATGGCATACCTCCACAGATGAGAGCCATAATTACAGACATATTTATAAAGATACTGAGAAATCTTTCATTCAGAATTCATCTGGATATTTTCTGTTTAATTTCTTACTTCAGTGGCCTGTCTCCAAACATAACTCCATTAAAGGCAAGAGCACGAGGTACAGAATTTTGGTCTGCAAATTCCACAAAAGCAAACCGTGTTGGTTGTGTCTCATCACCTGCCATTCGCACAAACTTCACTTCTCCAACTTGTTTAAAAAATTCAAGCAGCTGATCTGCTGTTGTAGTCTAGAAAAAAAAATCAAAAAGCTCAGGTGAAGTAAAATATGTAATGAAAAACACTTATCCAACATACCAGGTAACCTAAGAACTTCAGAGATTAGGAAAAAAGATTTCATTAGTCAAAGGCAACGTGGACCAAAACTTCTATATTTCTTTCCTTCCCCATAAAAGTTATTTGGAAACTAGCCAATTTAGAAAAGGGAGGATCACATTTTTTTCTCCACACATCTAAAAAGTCTGCTTCTATTTAAAATGGTGCCACTAATACAAAAGATATTTTGAAAGGGTGATGTTTGGAAACTATATATTATTAAAAAAAAGAAAGACGTTTCTGGATGAACCATTTTAAGAGAGGTATGTTAATCCAACAAATTTAAATCATCAAGGAAAGGAGAGGTGAAAATGCTTATCCTTCTCTCCCCTCCAACTGCCTGTAGAAATGAAGGAAAGGATCATTGCAAGCCCTGAACTCATCAGACCTGTCAATAATAAATGTATTTCCATATGGATCTGCTTTTTTTAAGGTAGTACATTTGAAATCATCAATTAAAAAGGAATTTCTTTATATTTCAAATTGAATAATTTCATTTGTGTTACATATACTGATTGAAAGTGCATCAAAATAATATTTTTTAACATGTTGTTTCTATCTATTCACCCATCCAGGGTTTTAGAATGGCACTCATCTCAGTAGTAACTTTCTACTTAGATATATAGTTAGGCGAATAAAACAAAAGCCACATTTACTCTTGACTGAGTGGCATTTTCATATTTAAATAACCCTCTGGTAAATAATTGACCATTTAAGGAAGAGGACTTTGTTTCCCTGTTATGGATACAGAGGACTCTTCATACTAAATTATACAACTAATCCACCAAGTCCAGCCTCCTGTGATGGCCAATTATTCATACTTGAGAAAAAGGTAAATTCCTTCCCCACAATGCACCTATCCTACAGAGCAATGCTGTACATGGATGGGGGGATGATACAAATTCCTTCATAATCCCTGAAGTAATCAGTTTATTATACTCTGATGCAGATCATCATTATTTCAGCGTACATAGTGATAAAACCATCAAAATCTGTAGTATTTGTTTCTTTGAAGTAGTGAACTCTACAGGCTGTCTTCCCCCCCTTTCCCAAGAAGCATTCACAACAACTAATAACCACAAGAGCATCTTTTTTTTTATTTGTTTGAATTATCTTCTATTTTTACCATGTGGAACAAACTCATTATGCACATATGGGTCTTTTCAAAACTGTTTAAGGTCATAAATCACAATGACATGGGCTAAACCAGAGCTGGGCAAACTTTTTGGCACGAGGACCATATCTGGGTATGGAAATTGTATGGCAGGCCATGAATGCTCACAAAATTGGGGGCTGGGGTGCGGGAGGAGGTGAGGGCTCCGGGGTGGGGCCAGAAATGAGGAGTTCAGGGTGCAGGAGGGTACTCCGGCTAGGACTGAGGGGTTGGGAGGGCTGGGGAAGGGGGTTGGGGAGCGTGAGCGTGTCAGAGGTGCAGGCTCCGGGCGGCGCTTACCTCAAACAGCTCCCAGAAGCAGTGGCATGTCCCCCCTCTGGCTCGTACGTGGAGGCACATCCAGGTGGCTCTGCGTGCTGCCCTGTCCTCAGGTGCCTCCCCTGCAGCTCCCATTAGCCATGGTTCCCAGCCAATGGGAGCTGTGGGGACAGTGCTTGGGGCGGCGGCAGCAGCATGCAGAGCCCCCTGGCTGCCCCTACACATAGGAGCTGGAGAGGGGACATGCCGCTGCTTCTGGGAGCCACATGGAGTGGGGCAAGCCCCTGACCCCACTCCCCGGCTGGAGTGCCGGAGTGGGGCAAGTGCCAGACCCTGCTCCCCAGCGGGAGTTTGAGGGCCAGATTAAAACATCTGGAGGGCTGGATGCAGTGCCGGGCCATAGTTTGCCCACCCCTGGGCTAAAAACTACATCTTCCTTTAACTTTTCAAATTTGACAAAAAGGACGGTACCTGAGAATTCAGATTTCCAACGTAGACTGTTCTCCTAATTTCATCAATTTTGGAAGGATCCACATTTCCCATAATTGGTGGCTGTGGTATTTCTCCAAGTGCTGTAATATTAGGGTCCAATGCTGCTGCTGGTATAGCTCCCAACGTGCCAAGTGAAACACTAAGCTAAAAAAAAAACAAAAACATGATTTATAAACAAATAGGAGATTGTGTGTCCCAGCAAGGCTTTTATCCCAAGTACATCCAAGTAAAAAACAAAATACAAATTCAGTACAAACAGATAATATTTTTTTACAGTTAAACCCTCACCTTGCAAAAATTCTATCCCCCAAATCTAGCCTCTCATATATTAAATGTTCCAAAATATGGCCAGTCACCGTCTTGCTTAAGCTTTTGGCCAGTGATGCTATAGCATAATCAAACAGAAAGGTAATGGCAGAATTCCCCTGCAGAACATAAAACATGAACATTTATGCCCATGATATCTAGGGAAAAGGCAACTTTCTACTTTGTGTCTACTGCACCTTCCTAGCATGAGACAATAAACAAGAATTCCATAGCTATGCTGCCAAGAATGACATAATTCTCTCCCAAGTCTTATGTTATAGAGAAAGAGACCAGTCTACATTTTCTTTTGTGAAACACGTGATTAGATTTGAGTCTTTTTCCCAGATTAATATAAAAACTGAAATTGGGGGAGGAAAGACTAATATTGCTCAACGAAGGAGTTTCTTATGGTTAATGCTTTGGCTGCAATGTTTACAGGCGCTATGGAGAACCCAATGGGAGTAACTGGACACTCCATTCTCCTTCATTTTAAAGGAAAATGAGCATCCAAATCCCCTGCGTGGCTTTGAAATCTCAGCCTAAAGCTTTTCTAACTTGGACCCACTGCTAATGTGAAAGCTCAGAGGGGGACCTAAACTGGCTGAGGTCTAAATATTTCTTATTCAGTCCTGGTCCAGAACTACAGAAGTAGCATTAGTCTTGAGGATCAGTCATAGATCTTGTGCAACACCAGAGAGGTAAATGAATACCATGTACCACCGGAAAAATAGAATTCCATAGCAAGTATATAGCAGTTGTTTCTATCCCTGGTAGATTGAGAGAGATTAGGTTTTAAAAATCCAACAATTCAAATAACTATCACCCTTTCCCTTACGTACATACACACAATTGAATTCCAAAGTGATTTTAACATGTATCTTGACAATTGCTAGATTTTCATATTCCTTATGCTGGTGGAAAATCTGGAATTCTAGCATTCAAACAGCATAATGTAGTAATTCTGTGGACTGTAAAGGATTAGCTGGTGGGCAACAGAGATGTGGTAAGTAACATGGTACCACTTTCTCCTTGTTTCCAATTGCTTCTACATGGGTCCAGGTGTCTAAAAACAAAGATGTGCCAGCCTAGCTATATCCACAGGGGCTACTGCAATATAAGAAAAAAGAGGAGGAGGAAAGTAAAGAGTAATAGCTCTCAGGGAATGGAACTGCCATGCACTAGCATGAGAGGTGCACGGAGCCCTTCACCACGTGCAAAATGTTCAGGGAACAAAGGAAACAGGCAGGTGGGGAAGAGGACCACCAGGCAGCGTACCTCTGGAAAGGGAGGACCAGCCTGCAGGGGAGCAGAGAAATGAACCAAAAGGCCAAACAGCATATGCCCATAACAAAGACGAACAGGCAGCAACAAACCACATGTAGGGAGATCAGGCAAAAGAGAAACACATGTAAATGACTGGGGGAAAGAGTGGGAAACAGGACAGATGACAGAAAGAAATGAAACAAAGAGCAGGAGATAATTACTTATTTTTTCCAAAACAGACAAAACACCAATTGCTTTTAAAAACAATTAAAGTACCTGAGACTTTTCTATACTAGCATTCCATGTAAGCATGCTGCACAATTATATATAGGATTATAAATGAAGAAATGGGAGGAGTTGCTCCATCAGACACACTCTCCATTAAGATGTAATGTAAACACAAGTAGTTAAGATCTGCTCCTTTTTCAAAATGCAGGGATGAGGTATTTTCTAAGATCATGTATAAATCACTGTTTTCCTAATTCCAGAATGGAAATCATGAGCTTTAGTGTAAATTTAATGATTCTCCAGTTTTATGTCACTGGTACCAAATTTCACCCTTTCCTCTTGTGCCAAAACGTATTCACTGGCAAACAGCAGTTCACTTTGGCTTTGTATTCACTCCTTTTACCTCCTGGAGAATCCATAAGGAATACAGAACTAAAATTTTTCTAAACAAACATCAAATATTGTCAAATGCTTTACACAAGCCCAACTGTCAGTCCTTTATCTGGCATATAAAAGGTCAATATTTTCTGGTGGTACTATATGTATTATGATCTAATCTGAACTTGCAATGGAAAAATAAATACACTTTTGGGGACTGGAAACCCTTTTCATTTTAGTCTGTAAACTACCAGAGATAAAAATGCTCAGAATAATGGTCTTCTCTTGTACATGAGTCTGAAAGTACCTTAGTGCTATTTATAGCAAATCTAGTTTCCCAAACATACACTGACATTATTAAAAACAAATCTTTAAAACTGAAACAACACAACAACCACATGGGTGTTGATGAGAAATGTTCTTAAAATATATTAAAACATCCACATTTACATCCATCCACTTACAGGGGAATTAAAGTGGATCCAAACCTATTAATTAATATACCAGATGGCTCTAAGGCAGGGGTAGCCAAATCCGGACCGCCAGATGCTTTTGAACACATTCCATAATCTTTGTATTTACTTATTATCATTATTGTTATTATTTTTCTCTGGAGTCCGGACCTTGACTATACCTTGACCAAGAAATTTAGACCCTGACAAAAAATAATTGACTACCCCTGCTCTAAGGGCCTGATCCTGCAAAGTGTTGATCACCCTCAACTCCAATTGGTTCTGGAGGGAAGCCAAGAGCCCCTGCATCAGAAGAGGGCACTCATCACACTACAAAATTGTGACCTAGTGCAACACATTACATCCTTGTCACCAGGAACTCACTACACACTAGAGAAGGCTATTTCCCAGTGACAGAAACATTAGAGGTCTTTGAAAAGAGTCGCAATCCACCACGAAATGCTGAACCTCATTTTTTTACCTTATGTCCCTTATTAGCATGCAAGAGAACGACTGAAACAAAGATTTCACAGATGGTTGCCTCCTTGGCCTTTATAAGAATTCGTAAGCTGGGGATAGGGTGGGGGGGGGAATAAATCTCTGACTGAGAAATATTTGCCTTGCTTAGACTGAATGACAAGGGAAGATAATAAAGTTGGAATATGCAAAGCCTGAAGCAAGGGGTTAGAAGTTTCCTGGATTTGATAGGTGTGTTGACTTTCCGAATCTGCATGTTTTCTAAACAAACTACCATATATACTCGTTCATAAGCCGAATTTTTTTTAGTAAAAAAAAGAAGCATCAGAGAAGGGGGTCGGCTTATGAACGGGTATAGAATGGGAGAGGTGGGCAGGGAGAGGCAGCAGAGCCAGAAGGAAAGAGGCGGGGCCAGAGTCTCTCCGCTTCTGGCCATGCTGCTCTCCCCCCAGCCTCTGAGGCAGCTGCTGCTCTGGGGCTGGCAGGCTGCGGCCACGCTGCCCGGCCCCATCCGCTGGAGCAGGCTGCGGCCAGGCCAGAGACATCCTCCCCTGACCCACCCCAGCTAAGGTGGAAGAGATGGGATGGGGAGAGTGTGGGGGTCCTGGGCTAGGGTCATGTGTGGGGTGGTCACAGGGGTTACTCCCCTGACCTCCAGCTTCTCCCATGACCCCCCCACCCCCAAATTTCCCCACCAGTTGCTGTCCTGGCCCGTTAGGGTAAGCAGCTGGCGGGCCGGGACAGTTTATTTACTCAGGTTGACCTCCGTGCCTGTGGACACTCAAGGTAAACAAACCGTCTCTGCCCGCCAGCAGCTTATCCTGATAGCCCTAGGAGCCAAAGTTTGCCGACCCCTGAATTATAGGGGGTCATGAACGCGTCATAAAAAAATTCCATTTTTACTTCTCCATCTTTGGGGTGGGAGGGCAGCGTATAAAAGAACCAGCTTATGATCGAGTATATACGGTACATCCATCCACTCAAAGGAAAGGTTAGCTAAGCTTTTTATTGAATGAGAAAAGTGGAAAAGGCATACAACAGGTTATTCAAGCCAATATCCTCTGAACAAAATTTCTTTACCATCTATCTTCAACTATATCTTTGTAAGGAAAATAATTTATAATTTAAATTTAGTCAGTCATTTTCTGCAGCATCAAAGTAGAATAATGCCTTCAATTTCCAAAATATGGAAGTGATCTCTCACGACAGATGCCATAACATTATGTGATTAGTAAAATCAGTTGACTAGTTGAGTCCAAATCTAAGCATTGTCTTCTCCACAAAGAACAAAGCAAGTTCCTTGCTACTGAAGAAGTATGTATAACAAATGTCATAACTCCTGAACAGTCTAAACAGTAGGTCTATTCTATCATTCTAAGTGCTATAAAAATTAGTACCTGTATTTATTTTAGTACTGTTCAATGTGTCTTTTAAATTCTTCCTGAATTACTTTAATAACAGAAAATTCTGAGAGTAGAATTGGGCAGAGATTCTAAAAAATTATTAAAAATGCTAAAGGTTCAATAAGTTCTCTTGGCTAAATTCCAAGAGCACAGATAAAACTGAATAGTTAACTTCTGGAAGATGACTTATAATAAACAGAGGTAATTTGTGCTAGGTGATTAGATTAAGCTGGTTCAAAATCCAAACAGTGGATTATTTATGGCTGGAGCAGGGGCATTTATAGACACAAGGGGTTGAAGTATCAGTAACATTTTTGACTAATAAATTTCCCTGGGTACTGTTTACAGGAAATTACAAAAGGATTCAACTATTAATAATTTTGCAGGAATTTTGTCTTTTCTTTTTAAAAGGAACATTTTAAAAACACTACAGTGTCCCTTATACAACTACTAGGGTGAGCCGGTGTCAGACTGTGCATATTAGTTTGCAGAAGGTCAGTATGAATCTATGATGCGTGTCTAACTAGTGGCTTGATGACTACTGCTTCTTTATGAATATTCACATGGCCTACAAGGACTAATAAGGCAGAAATCACCATATTCTAAAAAGGAATAATGCTTACCAGAAGGAAGAAAAGGGTCCTTTCCAGTGTTTCTGAAATTATTGCCTGAGCCCTTAGCCAAGCCTGCTTTTCTTATGCCATTTTGTGTATGAGGAAGAGACCTTAGAATGTTCATTTCTTCTAGAGGTTTGACCAATATCAAACCAAGAAGTTGAAGGTGTTGGTAAACAGGGTTTGCTGAGGAGCCATTCAAGGGAACACTGTTGTTGCCAGTGTCTGTAGTGGTGCTGTCAAATGCACAATGCAGAAATCTAGGATGGTACCAACAACAGTTCTGGTGAATGCGGAGCTGCAGCAAGGTCAGTAGCTCAAGGGCCCATTTCCTCAAATAACATGGGGCTGATGACAGGGGAACAGAGGGAAGACCCATTAAGCCCAGTTTTGTTGAAGGAAGGTCTGCTTATTCTGCCGTTCCTGGTGGAGAGGGAAGGGGGATGGTAGCCTGTTGCTGCCAGAAAGGGTTAGCAGAAACAGAAGGGAAGGTGTATATGCAATAAGTAGAAGCTAGAGAATATAAAAGCCTCCATTCTTTTTGCAGTGATAGCATTTTGAGGCCAACATGCAACAGCCCCAGTCACTGGAGGGAGTGTGCTTGAGTATCCTAATGTGGCATTCAAGCCTTCCAAAGGATTGAATGTGTTTAACTCTAGTATTTTAAACTTTATAATTATTATTTGGGGAAGGGGAGTGGTTGGTAGTATATGCATTGGGTCAGATTTTGCCCCTGTTTATATACATCCAACTAAGATGGACGTAATCAAAGAGAATCTAGCCCAGTACTTTGCAGAATAGGAATTTGGAAATAAAGAAAAACAGTGAATGTGCTGGCCATACTCTAGCCTGACCTCTTGAGAAAAATCAAGACAGCGGGATTAAGTGTCTTCACTGACTTATTAGGTAGGGTGTGATGTCATGGGACTGGGCTATTCCTTTTCTCTCAACCCAGAAGGGGAGAATTCTTGGTTGGGCTGAAGGAGGGAGCTAGAAGAAACAGAACAGTTTATTAACTCCAAGTCAAAGAGATTAAATTTTACTTACTGAGGTCAGAGGAGTTGGTGTGGGTATAGGAAGCAACCCTGCACCAGGCATCAGGCTTGTCATAGTAGGAGCAGGAGCCAATAAAGAAAGGGCTTTGGCTTCATCTGGGATTTTACCTGGAGAAGCAAATGGAAGTGTTAGAGAGAGTTTGAACACCAAACCAATGTTATTCTTTTTATGATTTTACAATTTACCCTTGCACTTAAAAAAAATAGTAAAGAAAAATGAATCTATCTACCAGATCCTTACAAAAAACAAATAAGAACTTAAGTTTTTCCTTTTACCCTGCTCTACTAGGAAAAACAAAAGTGAGCAAAACTTCAAAGACTAGCAATCTCATTAATGGATTATTTTAAAAACTGAATAATGTAGACAATTATTTAACACTTTGAGCTATGGGTCACCTGTACTGGAAACTTAATGTTCATGAACCAAACGATATCAAGCATGGACGCTTTCCCAGGGCGGTGTTTTCGCGGTGATCGAAAGTTGTGTTACACATGACAACCGTTCGTGTAGGCTGCATCACTAATAGCACACAGAACATCAGATACAGAAAAGAAGAACATTTTTTAAAGTTTAATCCCCAGAAATGGCAAATAACCAAATTAGTTTTTTTAAAAAAAAGTGCTAATTGAAATCTGTCCCTTTTCTTTTACGGCTGCTACCTGCTTTTGATAAATAAAATAAAATAAAATAAAAATAAAATAAAATAAATAAAATAAAATACAAAAATTACCAATGACCCCATACGAACTCTGTACTGCAGGTAGAGTCAACAGGGAAAAGAAAAAAAAAAAAGAAAAAAAAAGAAGACCTACACTGTTTCTCTTTCTAGGTTGTCTCAATGTAACTGGGACGAAGAGAGACTTAAGTCTCTTGTCGTCTAATTGTAAATATACTGAGATAGTTGCTCAATTACTTTTCCCTTCTAAATGCACTACACTTTCATAAAAAATATATATTACAACTGTGACTAACAAACTCCCCCTGTTGTCATGCCAACAGTTTATTAAAATAGTTTCTCATCTGAATAAAATGAATGTGGTTATATGTATAGTTATAACAAAAATGCAGGACTAAGAAATCTTCAGAGCATTAAATTCTGTACTATTTAAACGATTTACTAAATGCAAATACTGATTTCCAATTTAAGGGAATTAAATCACCACAAAATATAAACAGTGAACTGAAAAACTGCCAGAGAATTCCTAATCACACGAAATAATTAAGGACTTCCTAATCTGCTCCAAATTGCCAAAGTAACCATAAAACAGCCCTCATACATTACCTCATGCATTTTAGAGGTGTTTATGGCTTTCTACAATACTGAACTTTGTAAGTACTAGAACAGCACCCGTCTGGTACTACTACAATTTGCACATACATTTTCATTACAGATCTCTAACTTCAGGAGTTTATAATGAATACATACAAAAGGACTCCTGATTTAAAAGTAAAATATGGGGCAAATTTTCAAAGCACTATGCAAAGTTTTGGCAGTGCAATTCCCATTAAAGCCCACGGGAGTTATCCCACTATAAGAATGTTTTGAAAATATGCACCACAATTTGCAGCTCTAGAATAGATTTGAGTTGCTCTGTTCAAAAGAAAATAAATCTAAATAAAATCCATTTTAATGGGAATAGATGTGGAATGAAAGAAAGAAAAAAAAACAACACACACACACACACACACACTCACACACAATTTCATCTAGAATTTATGTTGTATTCCTATTAAGCAAACACAGCTATTTAACTTTAAAGATACATTCTGTGAAACTTTGGTCCATAATGTACAACAGATCAAGCCACATTGCTATCTTAAAGAGAAAAATAAAATAAAATTGTTAGGGTCTGAAAATTATCTTCACAGTAATTTCTTCCGTAACTTTTTAAAAACATATCTGATCTAAAGCCAAAATTGTATTTAGAAGGAATACAGCACTTTGCAGGCCTCGTTTTAAAATTAGACATGCAATAGCATGTGAAGTTATAATGCCCGATTTGCGTGACTCCTCATGAAAAAGCAGGTATTTACTTGCACAAATTGTCAGTTATGCATCTAAACAGATATTTAGATACATAACCACAGTAACTGTGCATGCAAATTAGGTATACATTTACACAGCTGATTTTGGGGAAATCGTAATTTATGTTTTTAAAGTGCTGTTGAAACATGAACTAACCATGAAGGTCCATATTACAGATCAATAAGGCCCTAATCCTGCGGAGATATCCTCCTGTGTTTACATGTGGCACCTACATAAAATCCCACAAAGTCAATGGGACTTTACATGGGTGGATCCACCTACAGGAAGCTAAAGATAGTAACACTGCATTCTAATGTAGTCCCCACAATGAACTTAAGCACATGCCTAATTTAAGCATGCACTTAAATCTATCCCTATTCTGCAAGCACTTAAACATATACTTAACTTTAAGTAGATGATTAACATGCTGACGTGCTTTGTTGAATAGGGACTGAATTTAGAACATGCTTAAATATTTAGTTGAATGAGGGTCATCAGTTCAGAAAGGTACTTAAGCATGTGCCAAGACTTCAAGCGTAAGAACAATGCCACTTAAGTCACTGGGACTATTTATACATTTAGTTAGGTACATGCTAAAGTAACTTGCTGACTCATGACCACATAAGGTAAACTATTATAGCAGTCTGCCAGGTGTATACCATGCATTTTAAATTGAAATTTTTATTGACATTTCCCTAATACTTTTGCTTTCTCACCTATGTTAAAAAAAAAACTAAGTAGAGCTGGTCAAAGTTTTTCCACACAGTTTTACTTTAAAAAAAAAAAAAAAGTGCCTTTTTCTCAAAGATGATCTTTTCATGAAAAATTATCAACATCTGGGTTCTGCAGATGTTTCTTCAATATTTTCACTGATTTTTTAAAAGCAAACTCATGCTCAAAAATATTCAACAAAAATTTCCCACAGTAAAATGCTGTGGAAACTGTCCCAAAAAATGAATCAATCTAGAACCCCGAAAAATGGAAACAGTTTAGAAATTTCAGAAATTTCCCACAAAAAAACTTCCATTTTTTTCTCAACGGAACTTTAGTAAAAAGCTGATCAGATTACTTAGTATTAAAAATCAATTTAAGAGCTCATAAGGAACCGGTTATGTTCTTGAGTAAATATATATTTTATACCTTCTTTAATCTTTTTTATAAAAAAGGAATACAAACCCAGAAAAAATATAAACAACATTTAGCCTGTTGCACAATCTGACATCTGTTTAACATCAGGTTTAAGGCTTGCATGTTTTTCTTAATGCATATTGCCATGGGATGGGTGAAGTCAATCCTTAAAAGTTGAACTGAAATGCTTTCCCCAAATATATGTATTTATTTAAAAAGTGTACCATTTCAACTTCATAGATCAATTTCTTGACTTATTTCAATGTATGCCCGTGCCTTAAAATGGTTTTAATGACCTTTCAGTATTCAATAATAAATGACAGATCTGATTCTCATTTGCAATAAGGCCCCTTTATACTGTTCTAGCATTACAAAGGGACCTTTTAAGTGGGGTGTAAATTACTTTTATATCCATTTTAAGATACTTCAGCGGATCAGCTGCTTGATCTACACTTCACATTTATACTGGCATAACTATTTGGGTCAGAAAGTGTGAAAAGTGTCCCCATCTCCTAGCAACATAGGTATGCTGTCAAAAGCCCCAGTGTAGATACAACTATGCTGACAGAAAAATGCGTTTGTTAGAATGTTGTTCAGGGAGGGGATGCTCTTACACATGGAGAAAACGCCTTCTATCAGTGTGCACTGCAAGTTCACAAAAGAGCTATGCCAGCACAGCTATGATAGCATTGGCTCTGTAGGGCAGACATGGCTTGCCAGAGCAACGTAACGTGGCCTTAGTGTAAATAATGATTAGGCCTGATACCAGTAAAATTATAGTGTATTAGTCACAAGATTCCATCCTCATGCAAGTGTTCAGAAGGGATCAGTTTCCTTGTGTTTTGTACTATAAACTGCTGGGTGATTAAAAAAAAAAAAAAGAAAGAAAAAAACCCGCTTCAGTGATGAACAAGTATCTTCAATCAAAGACACTTTATGCTCATATCTAATCTGGAGATTAGAAGAATAAATTATTTTCCTAGTATATTTAATCACTGGGAACTACAAATTTATGGATGAAACCATTTCTTAGAAAATCCCTTTCTGTTGCATCTAAATGAGAATGCCATTCTAGTGTGTAAAGGTTAAAAAACAAAACAACACAACAACGCCCCCGTCCCTCAAAAAAAAAAAAAAAAAAAGTTGTTTCCATCTTCCCACAGATAGCAATGTTAAAAGACAACATATCTGACAAAACACTCTCCAATCAAGGCCTCAGAATCCATTTACACTAACGTGTGGTAAAGGTTTTTCTTAAAGAAAAGTAATACATGAAATCCCGACCCCACTGAAGTCAATGGCTAAACCTCCGTTAACATCAATGGAGTTAGAATTTCACCCACAGTGAATAAAAATTCTAGAATGTTCATAATTTTGTCAAGAGTCATTCCAAAATAGATATCTTAACTTCTTCATATTAAAAATTAATACAAAAACCTTGTGCTGTGCTGGTTATACAGCTTAAAATAAAACTGCTTCTGATCATGAGAAAGAGACTGATTAAAATCCATGACTTTGTTCAGAAAAGCTAGATTCTTAAGAAAGAAGTAATAAGAAAGAAAGTAAGTTTCAGCTGGCTTTTTCAGAGACATGTACTTTTGAAAATATGGTCGAAGGAGGAACACACACATCTGAGAGCTGAAATATCTTTATCACTATTTTAGTCTTCAGACATCATATATTGATCTGCCTGTCATAGTTGAATTAAGATGCTAAAACATATCTCTAAGGCAGTGTTTATCCCTAGTTTACAACAGAGAATTTAGCTGACCTAATTCAACACTCTGTGTATATACCATCCACCACCCTCATAAACAGCTTCAGAAAGTCTACTTTAAAATGACACATCATTCAACCCTTTAAGAAACACCATTTTTACAGAATTGAAGAACCAGTTCACAAGTAGAAGTGAAAGAGATTCAGCAAAAACAAAACAAAAAAAGGGACAAAATAAAAAGAAAAGAAAGAAAAGCAAAATAAAAAATAAAAACAGAGACAGGGCGTCCATCTTCAGCGGGCCAGACTTCGATCTCATTTCCCCCCACGAAGGTTTCACTTGACGGCAGGTTTAGTGGCATGGCAAACAATGCCTAACTCAGGCAAGTGTAACAGGTCTGCCTTGGCCAGTCTAGTCATCTAATAATGCACAAATATCACACAGAGAAAACATACAAAACCAAATTAATAGTCAAAATCCATCTACCAGAAAATGTGGACATAAAGTTTAGAATGATGGTTAGGGCAACATCTTTGTTATGTTTCAACCTTTGCTTTCTAAAGGTATAACATTTAAAACAAACAAACAAACAAAACAAAAAAAGAAAACCTGTGATGCACAAACAAAGGAAAGGGTAACATTTTGACAGTGCAATGAAATTTTACTTCATTTAAAATAACATTTTTGGTTAATAAAGTAGCAATGGTGAAGTACATATGTGAACGTTATAAAATGAACATTATTTTCAATGCTTAGGGGTTCCTTCCTCACACACTACTGAGGTTGGACTCTTGAAAGGCATTCTAAATTTGTTTGTTTTTTTAAACCAAGCTTTCTATACCCTTTTCTCTTTTCTATCCCATCAAGCTTTACTTTTGTACACCAAGCCTTTCAGTAATGGCACTTTTGGCCAACGGCAGAATTTAAACTTGGCAGTAGAACACGGCTGCTACTGCTTTAGCAGCCCATAGTATACCTTACCAATCACGTTTACAGCTATATCACCAAATATTGCACTGTGTTCTCCAGAGCCATATATATCAACACACATTTCCTTGGAAAGTTAAACTATCGTCAATACAGATAGCATTTTCAAACTAACATGAATGGTTCTGTAATAAAGTTGCATAGGAACAGCATATTTATGGTGTGAAATTTTCAAGTGGATTTGTCTCACAACCCAATCATATGTTCAGTTAGTTGTACACAAGCTCCGTATTTTCTTGTAGAGTCCACAGTGACTTGTGAACAAACCGCTATACAATAATAGTGCTACTTTCAGATTGCCTCTGTCAGCTATGAAATGGGTTGAACATGATTGGGGAGGTAAAAAATGTGTTCTCATAACTTCTGTTGTATTCTTCCTCCATTATTAGATATCACAAAGAGACACAGAAAAATTCACCTTTACCTGCCTGCTGCCATGCCACCTCAAACTGTGACCCCATCACAAGGAAAACCCAAGAAGTGGTGTTGATTCATTAGGAAGCAATCTTCCCTCTCTGGCAGTACTGAACCAGTGTTTGAGTCTTCTAGATGAGACATAAAAACTAAAATTGTTCCCGATCATCCTCCTGAATGATCTTGTGGGACCTTTTCAAGTGTATCAACTCTCATCAGATATATTCTGCCTACCTGAATTCCTTTTGCAGTTTCAATTGGATACAGTATTATTCTTTTCTCCCTGACTTAAAGGTAAATGTAAAAAATCAAAACCTATGCTTCATGAAGCTCAGCAATATGTGCTCTATGCCCAAATGAACATGGTTGTGGGTGTAGTTAGCACATAAATAAGATTTAAATAACCTTTAAAATAAATATTTTCAAGGATCCATGAAAGTCTGCTTGCTCTGTTGAGTTTGCTACAGACATCCCAGTACGGATCATTCTGTAAGCACAGAACTCAAGCAACAACTCTTGGTATGTTTGCTGTGCCAAAATAAGGCTTTCTGGGGATACTGTTAACAAACCCAAAGAAGCCAAAAATAGACTTTGTGGAGCCAAACAGTATTTTTTTAAAAGATCAATTACGATTTATTAACTAACTATTTGGTTAGTGGTGGAATTCAACAGATGTATTAGCTTTGCAGATTATCATCAGCTCACTCTGATTTCCTGTGCAAGGTAAGACAGCGGGTATGTATACCTAAAGATGGCTGCATTCCACTGGTTTAAGAAAATGATTTCTATGGACTTATGGCCCAGATCCTACAATCTGATCTATGTGGACAGACACTTGGAGCTTATCTATACTATAGTCACTAAAGCAGCATAGCTATGGCACTATGCCTATGCTGCTGTAGTGCCATAATGTAGACACTATTCCTACAGCAATGGAATGAGTTTTACCTGTCACTATAGGTAATCCATCTCCCTGAGTGGCAGTTGCTAGATTGATGGAACCTAACTGCATCTTCACAGTGGATTAGGCCAGCATAGCTATGTGCTTAGAAGTGTGGATTTTTCAAACCTCTGAGCAAAGTAGCTATGTTGATCTAAATTTTAAGTGTAGACCTGGCCTAAATGCCAAATGGCATCCCAATGAAGTCAATGGGGCTCTGCCTATGTGCAGGGATCTGCCTATGTGCATCAGACTGCAGTATCAAGACCACAATTTGCAAAGCGCTTAACTAGTAACTCAAACATTTTATATTCAAGTAGTAAATGGAACCATAAACATTGAAAATATTTCTATTGGAGAAACCCAAATTGACAAAATACTTAGTCATGTCTGTACTTAACATTAGAACTGGAATTCCTGATGACAGTCCAGTTCTGAAGATGTCTTGAAAGATTTGATTAAATAAATCTAAAAATTAGCTTAAGGCTCAGATTTTAAAATGCATATAGGCATTGCTGCACTCAGCACTACAATGCCTAACTCATTTAGAAGTCTCAGTCTCATTTTCTGAAGGATTTAGGCCCAAAGTGCCTAAATCTCACTAGAAAAAGAGACGGATTTCTAAACTAGTTAGGTATTGCAATGCTGAGTGCAGCAATTCCTATATATGCCTTTAAAAATCTGGGCCCGAACTAAGTTGCAGCTTAATTGATGTTATAATTTAAGAAGTCTACTAAAGGGATTACTAAACTTTTTAAAAACAACAACAAACCAAAGTACAGTTAGGCCCTGAACTGCAATCTGATCTGTGCAGGGAGACTCCCTCACCTTTGCAGGAGCACACTGATGTCAATGTAGACTCTGAATAGGCATGAGGGTTTGCCCATGTGGATCAGACTGGAGGAGAGCAGTCTTATTTTATAAAGTTTTTTCAAGTATTTTCTTATACAAGTATGGAAAACCAGAATAAAACTACTAATTTAAATTAACTTATTAATTTTGCTCACGCATAGTTACAGCTAAATGTATACAAAAGATGTTTAAAAGCGTAGCCAACATATTTTTACTTCTTTTATTAATAATTTATTCTTTTTACCTTCTTCAAATCTAAAATTTTGCTTTCAAAAAGATGAGGGGAAAAAATAAAAAGAAGAGCATCAGTTACTTGCCAGTTTTTAGGAAAACTAAAGGCAATCAACATACAGGACAAAGACCAACATGAAAGAAGAATGTCTGAAATACCAACCTTCTGCACAGGGTACGACTATCAGAGCTCTATCAATAAAAACGGTGTTAGTTAGATGCTGGGCCACACCAACACTCGATGATTCACGAAACTTAATATAACATACTTTGGATGAAAAAGCAAGAGGAGCGTTGCTGCAAAATAAAAAGGAAAAAAAATCAATTAGTGTAATGAAAACACAGATTTTAGTTTTCCTCAAAAGCCTTTTTTAGTTTACTTATATACATTCACAGGGAGACATCTTTAGCAGAAATTAACTGAATCACTTATTTCTCATCCATACACACACACAAAAATGGTACTATCTTCCTCTTAGAAAGGATTTAGTAGTGGCAGAGTGTAGCTATGAGGTCTTCTATTAACAAGGCACTAGTGCCTTTAGAGAACCTGCTATAGAACATTTATCAGTATAATCCAAAAATCATAAATAATGTAAACTGAACTATAGCACACTTGTCAAATAAATGGAGAACATTTAATCTTTCTTTTCCCAAATAGTCTTTGTTCACTTACTCTAAAGCACAAAATTGAGTCATTTGTAGTGGGTTCTCCAGACAGCAGCACATATTAATTGACTTTCTTGTCTATGCCCTCAATTAGACCAAGCCCTGTTCATTCTTGTTAATAAAAAAAAATGTTCTCCAATGGCAGGAAAATTGGCCTTAGCTCACTGGTCGAAAGAAGGGCTCTATCTGCTACTTTAGCATGGTGCATTGAAGTATGTAATAACCTTGTCATGAAAAAACTCACAGATCAGATTAAGGTGAAACACAGAAAACAAGAAATATTTGTCAGCATATTCATTAAACACCCTATTAATCAAGGTTTTAGCCTTATTTCTTCTAAATACCATAGTCCTGACCAGTCAAGTTCATATCTGTGTATCATATACTATGCATAGGTTTGGCAGAAATTAATGTTTTTAAAAAACAATTTCGAGGGATAATGTTAATGTTATTTTTTAAGCTTTTTTAATTTTAATCTATTAAAATTTTCCCAGTTGGGGGGAAATTATGGGGTGGTTGGACAATACATATTTAATTTTAATAGATGCTAATATTCAAAAAGATAAAACTTTATAGTAATAAAAAACCAAACTGTATATTTTAACATTGATATTGACAAAGTAAATATTCTTAAATCAAACTCTAAAATTCTCAAGCAGCATTTTTCTAACTTTGCTTAGCTGTAAATTTTTATTGTTACTGAGGAAAATATTTGCATGCCAAGGGTGAAATCGACATTTACTGATAAAAAAAATATAATCCTTTAAGCCTAACTATGCACAATGAAATCAGTTAAAATAATTTTAAAATAATTTTTTCAGAAATGTTCTCTAAACAGGGTTTGTATCCACTGTACAAATATTTACTTTATATTCCTCATGTCAAATGTAGATTAGTAGTATGTTGGAGGTTTTAAAAGACTAAGAACAGGCACAAAATGGGATATTATTGTGATTTGTGAATTGCATTCAGCAAAACCCAGAAGAAGCTCATGTGATAATGACTTTTAATAAAGCAGCCAACAATGGAAAATTTGCTATTTGATTATTTCCTTTCTGAGACTGGCCTCTACCCCGTCAGATATATTTAAGCAGCGGCTCTGTTCCTGCAAATACTGTAAACAGTTCAGACCTTCCATGAAGCATCTGAGATTGCTTACACCACTTAAGTCCTCACTCCAGTTAAGTTCTTCCAGAACTGTGTACAATTACTAAATCCTAATTAGCAGAACATAAGGCATTTCTGTTGAGAAGTTTATTTCACCATATTAACTACGTAAATGAACCTGAAGAATCATTGCATAGCAACCCAAGGACACTTAAATTTCAGAGCATGAGTAGATTGGAGTGGAGAGTGTAATTTCCAGAAAGATAATCATTAGGTAAAAAGTTTGCCATTCTGGATCTGACCTCTCTCCAAGTCAGAGGCATTTGGGACACAGCAAGAGGAAAAAAAAAAAAATAGGTGAGTGAGAGATTAGGAGAACAGAAAAAAGAATGTTTCCCCTTTTCCCCTAAAATTAGCAGCATTATGCTACTTTGGAACCACTTCTTGGATTCACCTTCCCACAAAAGAATGCTCCTGTGGAGCAATGTAGGCCTGGTCTACATGAGATAATTAGGCCAGCATAACTATGCTGCTCAGAGTGTGAAAAATGCACAACCCCAAGCAGAATGGTATACACAGAGAAACATGTGGAGTGGGCTCTGAGCTCTATTGGAATTGGTTTATCTGCAGCTGAGTAAGCTTCTGTGACACAATATGTATCCACCTGGCTATGGAGGATTTGGGTTGCCCAGGCATTTAAGGAAGGAATGAAATTGATAAGAAAAATCAAATTATTCTTGTTTCACATGTAAAAGGCTAACTTTGAACCCCTAAGGACTACAGATTTACTGTTTTTTTGGGGGGGGTTGGGTTTTTTTTTTTTTTTTTTTTTAAAAAAGCTTTAGATTCAGCAGACTCTGAATATGCCACGTTGCTAAATAAATAAATCCAGTAGGTCAGATCTGGCTTGTAGGCTAGATGTTTGACATTTTTGCTAAGAAAAAAAATCCAGATGATCTTGAACTCCTTCATTTTCAAAAGACTGATCTTTCTATCTTGACACCAGTTGCAGAATTCTGTCTAAACACTTGCATAGCTTAAGAGAGTGGAAAGCTTGCACGATGATAAGAGAGTCTTTACTACTCTAGAGGACTCTCTTATTCTGTTTAGGGCAGTGGTTCCCAAACTTTTTTCCGCCGCTTGTGCAGGGAAAGCCCCGGCGGGCCAGGCCGGTTTGTTTACCTGCCATGTCCGCAGGTTCGGCCGATCGCAGCTCCCAGTGGCCGTGGTTCGCTGCTCCAGGCCAATGGGAGCTGCTGGAAGCGGCGGCCAGTACGTCCAGCAGCTCCCATTGGCCTGGAGCAGCGAACCGTGGCCACTGGGAGCTGCGATCGGCCAAACCTGCGGACATGGCAGGTAAACAAACCGGTCCGGCCCGCCAGGGGCGTTCCCTGCACAAGCAGTGGAACAAGTTTGGGAACCACTGGTTTAGGGTTTGCTGCTAACACCGAACTGTTAGGTTCATGTAGTTTCAACTGGAATGCATAAGCAAGCCTCTAGATAAGATGATGTCCGAGAAAGCTCCATGCAATCTTCTACTAGATCTGAGTACAATGGACTATTTGACCCATGACCACTGCCACCTCCTTTTTTATCTTCTGAATCATTCTTATTAGAAGAGTGGTGGAAAGCTGATAGAGAAGGCAATTCAACCATTTAGACATTTTAAAGTCAGCACATCCCGATAACTTGCATCCAAGAGTTTTAAAAGAGCAGGCTGAGGAGCCTGCTGAGGAGCATTCAATAAGCCTCAGAACACTGGAAAAGTTCAAAAAGATCAGAAGAAAGGTAACATTATACGGATTTTTAAAAAGGGTAAAAGGATGACCCAGGTAATTATAGTCCTGTCAGCCTGACATTGATCCTGAACAAGATAATGGAACGATTGATATGGAACTTGATTAATAAAAATTAAAGGAAGATAACGTAATTAATCCAAATCAACATGGGTTTATGGAGAATTCTGTGCCAAAAAATTAAAAGTTCTGAACACAGTATTTTAAAATTCTGCAAATGTTAGTCAATAAATAAAATGTGGTTCCAGCATGGCAGTGGGGAGCACAGGCCACTGACTGCATTGAGGTGGGAGATCACCCTGAAGCCCTCACCTACCCCGGGGCAGGGACTCGGCAGTGAGGCTGCACCTGACCCAGACACTGCAGGCCGGGCCTGCCCCTCTGTGCCAGGTGCACAAGGTGTGGGTGGGCAAGCTCAGCCCAGCAGGATCCAAGTGTGGAGGGGCTTAGTGTGAGGAGATCCAGGTATGGGGTGAGAGGCTTCTGTGTGGGGCAATCTGGGTGCATGTGGCTCAGTGGGAGATCTGGATGCACAAGGGCTTGTTGGGGCGGTTCCAAGTGCAGGGGCAATGGGACTCTGCAGGGGATCCAGGTGAAGGTGATTGAGGCTCAGCAAGGGGTGGTGTGGAGGGTTCAGTCGGGGGAGGAGGGGGTGAGTCCAGGTGCTGGGGAGTGGAGCTTGATGGGGTGGGGATCCAGGTGCAAGCTGCTTGGGGATCATTAGGGTGGTGGTCTGGGTGTGGGGGGCTCATCACAAGAGTCTAAGTGTAGAGGGGTAGAGCTTGTCAGGGTGAGGGTTTGATGGGCCTGCTTAACAGGGGAGCCCCACTTACTGCCGAAGGGATGCTGCATGATGGGCTCCCGCTTCCCACCCTGCAATTCCCCTATCCCCTTCTCCATCCCCCTGCCCCCCATTCCACTCTCCTTCCTTCCCCACTGCCTCTTCTTACCACCTTTGCTTCCCTCATTTCCCCCACCTCCCCCTTACCCAACCCCACCGTGGGCACTCACTGTTGGATAGAAAACAGGAAGGCTCCCAGCACACAGAAGGAGAGCATGACTGCACTAGAAAGCAGCGTTCAGTTGGCCAGCTCTGTGCTTGCAGAAATTGGGGGGGGGGGGGGGGAGAGAACGACCGTGGCACGTAACCCTGTGTACTTCCCCATGCCTCTCCTTTGTTGGTGGCGGGGGGGGCAATCCACCCCAAAAACTTCACGCATGGTCATCCCCCCCGACACTGTGCAGCTTCCCTTTGCTTCCCTGTCGTTTTCTGCAGGGAAACACAGGAATTCTGAAAGGCGGGGGGTGCGGGAGTGTGGATATGAAAGCTGAAGTTAGATAAATTCAGACTGGAAATAAGGCATAAATTTTTAATGGTGAAAGTAATTTACCAAGATTCTCCATCCGACAATTTTTAAAACAAACAGTGGATGTTTTCCTAAAAGATATGCTCTAGGAATTATTTTGGGAAGTTCTATGGCCTGTGTTATACAGGAAGTCAGGCTAGATGATCACAGTAGTCTCTTCTGGCCTTACAATGTATGAATCTATTAATTATATTTGTCATAGTTCTGAGGGTTGAAACTGCTTAAGATGTCCCACCTGAAAATTGTGGCTCTGACATGGTTGCCAGTGAGGCTTTAAGAGTTAATGAAGAAGAAGTTTCAAAGTTTTTTCTAAGGGTTTCTTCTATCACCTAGTCTGTTGAAGAGAAGTTAGGAAGAA